CATGCACAAGCAGCCATCTTCAATACCGTTCTCCTACCATATCCATGTGGTCCAATCAGCACTGAATGATGGCCGGAGAACGCCTGGAGAGTGCACGAGAATGGGCACACATAACATAGTAACCTACCTGTACATGTACCGCAAGGCTGAATGATGGATAGAAAAGATATCTCCGTCAACTTTGATAAACCGATTAGAGTGAGTATTCCAATTCTGCACAAGGGTGAAAGGAAAGCTTTTAACAAATCCAGTGACATTATGTCAAAGTGTTGACCCATAAACCTGTGTAATACGCACACTAGCACACAGTCAGTTCAGTGTGAGCGCACTGTCTTACCAGAAGACGACATTGCTTGGCAAGGTGATCCACAAATCTTGGAAATAGCACCAATTCCATACCAGGCTGTTCTTGTTGGGAGTTGTAGGCCTGCAGTACATATGTTGACGCCTGCTCCAACTCCCCACTGCCACACTCAACATAGGCAGACTTTGGCTTGGTGCCAGGGGTAGCTGATGCATTATTGGCAAGCCGGCAAAACTCCTCGCCAGGAACTAAGTGCTTTGTGAAAACCAAGGTAGTCAAGTCTTCTCCTGCCAGGTGCAAAGCAACACAGACACAGACATGCATACTGGAACAAAGTACACCGAGGCAGACAGAGGTGTTTGCGTCATACATCTGCAGTAGTAACATGCAGCACTACGAGCATATAGTTCTAAGCATATTGAAAACTCTGGCAACACTCCATGAATACCACACATGCACATGAACACGGATGACTATGCAAGATGCACTACTAACCTCTTCTCATGAGGGAATCTATAGGTACACAGACCAAGCCACCTTGTGTGCTGGACTCTGCAAGTCTAGCTGCTTCCAGCAGAGCGGCTTCAAACTCATCCACCTCTTCACTGGCGGCACCATCAGCACCGCCGCCTTCCTTCTTGCTCTTCTTCCTTGACGAGGCAGCGCCAGTAGATGAACCTTTCCGAGAACTTTTCCTCGAGCTGGCAGCGTTCCTCTTGCTCTGAGAGCTAGCTAGTGCGGTCCTGTTTAGCTCACTGCCCGGAGCTCTTCGTGACACAGCACGATTAGCACGTCTGGAGAGTGGTGGTAAAGATGCTGAATCGGTGGACAAGTGACTAGCGGTGTCGGAAGCACGGCTATTTTGCACAGTACTAGCATGTGTTCTTGCAGCACTTGTCGTGGCTGCTGCTGTGTCCGTATCACTAGCGCCACAGAACAGGACATGTACAGTGTCAGTCAACATCGATGAGAACCAGGAGATCTTCTCCGGAGTGTTAAGTGCATCCATGTACGTACACGTCACCTCGTGGCACCACAGTCTCACTAGCGTACGTAGCATGGGTGGTGTTACATTGCTGGTGCCTGGACTGGCTGCTGAAGCATCTTCACTGATACTACCTGCCATACCAGCACCAGCACCAGTAGCAGCAGCACGGCGACGAGCTCCAGGGCCATGTGTACTCTTGCCTGTATTGGCCTTGCTGGGAGCAGCTTGGCGATCAGATTTCCACACACCTCCAGGGGCGGGGGCGGCAGCTTGCTTACGCCGTTGGAAGTGCCTCGGTCGAGTGCTGGGACTGACTAGCTGCAGGCCAGATAGTACTTGAAAGATGTGGCGTTGATCAAACAGGCAGTGCGGTTGTGTCGGATCGGGCAAGATGGTCTGCTGCACTTTGCGATGCACTCGTAGTGTAGCTTGGATCAGGGACTGAAGGTTTGCACGGAACAACAGCAGAAAAAACAGTAAACAAAGCAATACAGCAATAACAAGAGAAGAAAAGAAGCAATCCCGTGTCAGTAGATGGAAAGCACTGCTAGCACGAATGAATCTTAACCAGGGAGTAAATTAGTAGACACGGATGAATCTTAACCAGGGAGTAAATTAGTAGAGCCTGCCAAGGATCAAGGTTAGCAGCACTGTTTCTCTCTGCCACTATGACTGCAGACCAATGGCTATCTGGATATATACAGAACACAGAACACAATCAATATCTCACCTCAGATACAGCAGCCAGATTGCCAACAGAGTATGCAGGGAACTCTTCTAGCCAGGACATGATCCACGGACTCACGGTACACCTCACACCAGTATCAGGCAGGCTGGCTACATTGACAGTGAACCATTGGCGGAGAAATCTTGGACTGGTTTTCGGCAAGAAGAGGGAGTTCAAACTCGCCACAAGAACTAGGCCGCTTAGTTGTGACGGGATATAGCGATCTGGTTCATATACGTGGCCAGTGGACAGGACCTGGCGCAGCAATTCATTGCAGCTATATTGCGGATGAGCTGCTTGAGAGAGGTGGATATCGTCTAAGAACACCACGTATCTTCGTGAAGACAGAGTAGCCAATTTACTAGATAGTGGACTAGCCATGTGTCCATGTCGCTCTTCAAGAACCTGCTGCAAGTCTGTACGGCTTACATTTGCTGACATAGGATGTCGGAAGTGTGCATGCTGGTTGGACACAGCATACTGCAAGGGCAAGAACATAACAAACACACACACACACAGAACTGGTCCCTTTCCCCTATCATCACTTATACTAAACGAGTGTTTACCCCCCCCCCCTCCCTCTTCCCATCCTACCCCACTTCTCTCTATTCCCTTCTCCCTCCCTGATCAATGCACTTCATGGCCAGCAATCGAGGACATCTGAGAGTTGTAATTTTTGTACTCCTCCGAGGTGTGATTTTTGGCGTGCTGGGCCAAGCACAAGGAAGCCATCTGCAAAAAAACTGCAGAAAATGGTTGTTGTTTGATCCTTTGGTGTTATCTTTGTTTCTAGTCGAATCTAGTTGCTGTTTGGAGCAGAAATGCGGAAATTGACTATTTTCTGCATGTACTCATACATGTACTCATGTACTCAGGCATGCAGTCTCACTCGAATTTTAGCTCTTTTTCTGGAATGGATGCTGCTCTGCGCCCCTTGGTGAACATTTCCTGCGCTCGTGGAGCAGCTGAAAAGGACCACTGGTATGTCTGGTTCCTGGTTTGAAAGTGGAGAGTCGATTTGTGTGCCTTGAAAAAGGAGTAGAGAGCGATAAAGGTACGTCTGTGGCTTATTTTTGAGTGCTCCTCGTACATTTTTGATCGTGATAGAAATTCTCAGACCAAAGTCTGACCAAAGTCTGATGGCCGTACAGTTTTCTTGTGGATTTTTTAGTTGTTTCATCTCGTATCTATGTCAGTATCGTGATGGTGAAGTGGAGAGGGTGATTTTCTTCCTCTAGGCTTCGTTCGGCCGACTTTGCTTCGTCCTCGTTGAAAAGTGATCCTGAAAAAAAGGTCGATTCGCAAAATTATGTTGATTTTCAATGTACGTGATGACATGCGATTGCTGGCTATGTCTCATGTAGGGATGATGACAACTGAGCTGTAACACATGGGTGCACAAAACTTTGATTAGCTAATGTCTCCCGGCTGTATGCTTGCCATAAGATGTTAGCTGCAGTGTCCACAACAGGGTGGCACCATCCCCAACATACTGTGACACTATCCCCAACCGCACACTGTGACACTATCCCCTAATCACAAACCATATCACTATACTCGGTGTGAGGTGCATGTAAGACTGTACCTTCATCAAGCTGGTCTTTCCAACACCTCTGTGACCTGTCAGCAAAACTGATTGATTGTCTGACACAAGGTAATTTATCAGAACACTGTAGCGTAACACCTAAATACAAGTACATGTGCACAGACAAAGGGACGGATGGACCAATAGGCGGACAAACGTATGCCGGATGAACATACAGAAGTCATTTGGATACAAACACGCGTGGGTATCATATCCATAGTTAGCTGAAGTGCCAGCCAGAACAATCCAACTGTTGTTAGGAAACATTGCTAATATCCAGTCGCGATGGAAGAAATCTTCAGTTCTGTGGTGGTGGACTATAACGTAAAATTACATATACATGACAATATAGATTGAATCTATGAACAAAACTGACCAAAGCAGAGGTTCAAAAATTATAATAAAGTAGTAAAAGTAGGGAAGAGCTGAGCGTGAGGTCAAATGAATGACTCATCGGTGACAACATGTCAAATGAATGACTCATCGGTGACACCATTATTTCTACATGGTACTTGAAAGTTGGTACAAATTCCCGGTACTGTAAGACAAGTTCACACACGCACACGCACCCCCACATCCACCCCCCCCCCCCCCCCCCCCGCACACACACGCGCACGCACGCACACACACACCTACCTCAGGCAACGCTGTGTAGGTGGCCGGTGCAGAGCTGACTACATCTATGCCGCTCCCAGCTAACAGCAGGAATCGATTGCCGGTCTTATTCAAATGACAGTTCATCAAACTGCCAGACGATGGAATGTTGATTGAAAGTGGTGAACCGTGCCGAATTGCTGCTTCCATCATCGCGTCAAAAGACTGTTGTTGCCTGCAGCGAAAAGTGTCAAACGTTCAGGTCATTCAAATAAACCGTAGCATATAGAGAGCTATACTCAGCCAATAAGCAGCACTGGACTTCTGATGTCTATTTCTCCATCATTGGAGAGAAAATGGTTTAAAAAGTAACGTCCTCTCTGGCCGGGAATCAAACTCTGTGGAAATCATAAACTTTCATGCCTTTGTTTCATTCAAGTAACGGTTTCAGTTCTTTGTTTTCCACTGATGATTGGAACAAAAAATCGATTCTGGAAACAAAACGCGTACACCTTAACCTTTTTAAAATCTTGTAGGACGCATCACGCAGCAGTAAAAGCCACTTTTTACCCTAACCTTCAGTATAAAAAATCATATAGGGCTTGAAAGTGCTACGTCACAGCATAGCAACAATTTCAAAAATTCAAAAACTGGATCCACTTGGATCCAGTTTCTGTATGGATCCAAGCACATTTCAAGCGGTCTTACCCACAGCATGGTGATGTAGCCAGTGAAACTGACTGATTTGGCTACTGGGGGCGGGGTTACAACTGGTGGCGAAATAAAAGTCACACCTGCATGCGACATGAGTGGGTTGCTATGCACCCACATACTTAGGCAATAGCAAAGTCACACCTTAGTGGATCCAAAAATAGAAATCTGATGTCAACTTACTACTCCCTGGCCGTTTTGACGTCATCACTTTCAAGCCCTATTGCATGGCGATGTCTGTGGCTTCCATACTTAAAGGGGAAGTTAAGGCAAAAATCAAAATTTCACCAGTTGTAGTCTTCGGGGTGCTGAGTCGAATGGTCTTGGTCCGAGAAAGCTGAGACGCTCCCTTCCTACTTGAATCCCAATCGAACTTCGTGCACTTCCACCGAAACTGGGTGACTGCGCCCTACGAGATGGGGATTTGTATGCAAAATGTCACTAAAAGCGCCATTTCGTTCTTATAAAAGCACGGATGACCGCGATTGGCCCATATGTTGTAGTCTTTTGGACGCTGAGTCGACTGGTTTTGGTCCGAAAAGGCTGCGATGCAGCGTTCCTCCTTTATTCCCAATCAAACATGGTTGAACAAGCGGTCACGTGCTTCTGGGTGCCCAAATCACCTGGTCACCGCGCCAGCAGGCGACAACTTTCACACCAAGGTTCAACTCGAGTTCAACTCGAGTGACAGGACTGCACCCAAAAAAGGTCAAACAGGCTAGTAAGTTGTACCCTGCAGGCACGGTGACCAGGTGATTGGTGTACGCAGGAGCACGTGACCGCTTGTTCAACCATGTTCGATTGGGAATGGGGGAGGAACGCTGTATCGCAGCCTTTTCGGACCAAAACCAGTCGACTCAGCGTCCAAAAGACTACAACATATGGGCCAATCGCGGTCATCCATGCTTTTATAAGAACGAAATGGCGCTTTTAGTGACATTTTGCATACAAATCCCCATCTCGTAGGGCGCAGTCACCCAGTTTCGGTGGAAGTGCGCGAGTTCGATTGGGATTCAAGTAGGAAGGGAGCGTCTCAGCTTCCTCGGACCACAACCATTCGACTCAGCACCCCGAAGACTACAACTGGTGAAATTTGATTTTTGCCTTAACTTCCCCTTTAAAGGGGAACTGTCACGAAAAAATTTCTTTGTCTTATCTTGTAGTTCTTTGGCTCCTGATCACGATGGTATTATCCATTTTTCTCCACGATGGCTGGAAGTGGGTGAAAAGTTGAAAAGAAGGTGCCCAAAATTGTCCCGAAGTACCGAGTGACGTCACGCCGGACTTGACCTCCACGCGTACATTCGTCGTCAAAAACGAAGTCCAGCCCGTGTGCTGGTCGACCGAGCTGGCTGTTCCAATGTACGGTGCACGTGTGCCTTTTGAACTGTAACACAGATGGGTACGTCGTACCGAAGGAGAATGCCAAAGAGGCAGAAACCCACGTGCAGCTACACAGCCAAATCAAAATAAAAAGCAGCTGAGCTTTCACCTTTTTGACTTCTTCCGCGAGGATCTAAGTTTTATTTTGTGAGCACGGAAGTACGTCGTTGTTTTGAACTTTTCGTGTGAGCTTGAGGAACAACACGATGATGAGTGCGTATGCAGAAAACAGTACTCCTCCGGCCGGCGATAACACCACCAACCCGAGCCCCAAAGGAACGCAATGTAGGTACGTGAAGGCGATTCATCTGGCGATGTTGCTGGAGATGCAGATGACAAACTCCGACGTCTTTCATTTCAGAGCCGGGTGGGCAACACCACCACCTTCGGCTTCGATACAACATCATTTTCTAGCACGAGGTATGTGTGTCACACTAACAGCAAACAAAAATCCTTCCACTCCTTCGTAGTCACAAATAAAACAAAGAGCTGGAGCTTCGTGGAGGAAGTACCAGTGCGACAAACTGCTGTCGACCTTTGTTTATTTTGTCCCTTTTTGGCGTTCTCATTGTGTACAACGTACACAGTACACATCGAGTGTCCGAGTTCAGAAGTGCAAGCGTGCACCGTACATCGAACAGTTGGCTCGATTGACCAGCACACGGGCTGGACTTCGTTTTTGACGATGAATGTACACGTGGAGGTCAAGTCCGGCGTGACGTCACTCGGTACTTTGGGACAATTTTGGGCACCTTCCTTTCAATTTTTCACCCACTTCCAGTCATTGCAGAGAAAAACGAATAACACCATCGTGATCAGGAGCCAAAGAACTACAAGATAAGACAAAGAAAATTTTTGGTGACAGTTCCCCTTTAACCCTTTAACCGTCAGACCATACATTTGTGGGTCGAATTCGACCCATCATTTGAAATACTCGCACTGGAATGATTTTTTACCCACAATAGAAAATTTACTATCGATTCGGTTGCGAATTTTCCAGGCTTTCTGTTGCAGAAATCCGCGTTGAGCTACGATGTAGTGGAGCAGAGTTATCAAGCCCTGACTGGCCTGAGTACTGCACGCTTGTCACTTCCGCTGCGCTGGGCGCGCGGCTGACGTCGTCACGGGATTTCCCCGTTTCTTCACGCGCTCTGTGACTGTTGCTTGCGACCAACGTATTCCTCACGAAATGCTCGATCTCTCAAAAAAAAATTGAACACTCTACGATGAAGGAGACGGCCATGGCGGAGTTTTGAACTTGTCATTTGCATGCCTGGCGTTGAGACGACGTCGCTGCGTTCCAGCGCTGGTTGTGTGACTGCTGAGGCGAAGAATTTGGTATCATCGTGCTGGTCTCGTCCAGAGCTTTCCAACGAGCCCAAGATTATAAAAATCGAGTGAGTACAACTAAAGTTATGACCTGGCAAAGTTGAAATTTCGTTCGGCGTTTCAATGGGTGAAATTTATATGACGGTTAAAGGGTTAACAAAGCTCTAATTTCGATTCCTGTCCCAATATATTCCGAAGCAATCCTCCTGATAACATTCATTCCTTGCAGGCCTGTTTCAAGTTCATTCCAACTTTCTAACATTGACTGCAACCCTACTACATGTATGATAGCTTTTGTCAGTCTGTGTCAACTTGACTACAGCATGGGAAATTCCCCTCTTCTTCCTTTCCCCATTCAGTATGATTTCTTGGACTTTCTTTCATGTAAGTGGGCTTGCAGTCTGCGTGTATTGCGAATTCAAATAGAGGAATACACACAAAACTATGTATTCCAAAAATAGCGCTCGGTGAGCAGTCACGAACTGTGTGCTCTACACATGTACATGTATGGTGATTTGTGACTGGTCATGGGGTGTTGTGACTGGTAACACAATTTGTGAATGGTCATGAGGGGGGGGGGGGGGGTTGTGGCTGGTTGACTGGTCACGGGGACCGTGATTGGTCATGGGGCCTTGCCTGGTCACTGAGTCCTACAGATAGAATAACTTACTTATCAGCCACACTTCCAGCAAGTCCCCAAATCAATGAATACACAGCCATGTGCAGCAGTCTTTCCTGGATGCTCGCTGTACTGTCCAACTCCTCACTGCTGTCTGCACTGTGATGATTGTCAGAGCCATTGCTAGTCTTGTCGGTGTGAGAGGTATGCTGATCATCTTCACACAGGTGATGTCGCATCACAGCATGAAACACAGCCAGAACTTGTGTGACAAGCAGACAATCCAGACGATCCTGCGACAGGGCACAGCAGCAGCAGCAGCAGCAGCAGCAGCAAGATGTGCACATACAGCACCAGATGAAGTTAACACGCTGAAAATCGACATGCTTTGGTTAGTACAGATATCTGAATTGTATTTTTGATGCAGCCTGTTCACAACAATGTGATGTGAACATGCGATCTTCAAACTAATGGTGTAACAAGTCACCACGCATGTCCACAAACAGTCAAGAATGCATGTAGTCATGCCAGGATTGACTGCTCAGGTCTAGGGCAGCACCATAGTTGTAGTCATCAGCCAGACTAGCACGGGGAATACAAAGTGAGTCAACGGCACACCACAACACTGTAATCATCCGAAGCAAAGCAGTACCAACCTTAGACACCGTGCTGTGCAAGTATGCGGGAGTAGCAGCCCCTAGCCGATGAACTATGCCGAGTGATTTGGGAATGAGTGTCTTCAACCGAGTTGAGATGTAGTCAGTGCTACAGAACACAAACCAATTACAACAACAACAGCAGCAGTAACAACAAACATTTAAAGGGGAACTCCGGTCCAAAATCACCCCCATTTTTTATTGCGGAATCCATTAGAGTATGTCGTAAGTGGTAGAATGGCGAAAACCGGAAGCTTCTACGACAAGGATAACATACCTAAATTACCAATTGCAATTTTCCATATTTGGCACGAGGGGGCCCCCGCCCACCCTGTGACGTAAAACGTTCTCAGTGACCTCCAAATTTTTTTTATTCAAATGGTAGACCTGCAGAAATTTTGAAAAAGGTATTCACTGTTTTTTCTTCAATCAATACCCCTTGTACTAGTATTCATTCGATCATCATGTTGGAGGAAGAGGAGACCACGGGAGGTGTGGAGGTGGACGCCACTTCGGATTCAACAACACCGAGGCCTTTTAGGTTCGAGCCGAAGCGCGCATCAGCGTCTGCGAAACTGTCTACAAGTAATATTTCTGAGAGTACAAAACAGATGAACGTGAAGAGAACGCTTTGGTTGCAAGTGCTCGCGTGAGAAGCACTGCTTGATGCCGTTGCGGACAATGCAGCATGATGTGGAGCGAGGTCGAGTCGACTTGTTGCTGGGAGGTTCCTGCAGCTTTCATGAAACGCGGCGAGCAGGAAGGGCTGCAGTGCGTCACGCAGCACTCAGAGTTTGCTGTTGTTTGCCTGCAAAAATCAGTGCTCGAGGTTGCATTGCTTTCCTTCGAAGAATTTCGGGCAAGGTGTGGACCGTGGTCAAACAGGTGAGGATTCACTGAATCGGTTTCATTATTTCCTTTCTTTCCATGTTTCATGTACCGGTACAAAGTAGATGGGAAGTGTTGTGCAATGATTTTGTGTACAGTATTCAAATTCACCAACTTCCATCACACAATCATGAAGTTCTATTGCACCCATGCCAATATAATTATACTGGTACAACGATGTCTTTCATTCATACTATTCCTAGCACTGTAAGTGTTTCAACTGTGTGTAAAAGTGATGTAAATTTGAAAAAAGGCCAAAGTGTCTTTAGTATAGCAGCCCATAGAAATATTAATTCGAATCCGAAACTATTTACACTGAAACTATTTACTTTTACACAATCATGAAGACACTCGTGGTATGTGTATCTATATCTCTCCAACTGTTTTGTGCAGGATTTGGAGACATGTGGCGTATAGACAATACACATGGTTCACCCATGGATACGTTGGACGCAAGTAGCGGCGTGTGATACCGTCTTGCGTGGTATCGAAGATAAAGCAGCTGTACCAGAAGCCAATGCAGATGCGCACTGGGGCTTTGAGGAAGCAGTTGGACATGATGATGATGATGATGATGATGATGATGATAATGCTTCTTGGCCTGGTTGACGTTCACATAATCATTGGTACATGTGCATGCAGAAAACAGTTGACAGACACGATTTATAACTATTCTTGACTCGGGCAATATTTGTGTTTTCGGGTGGGCGCATGCTTTGCACCAATGCAGCTGCATGAACAATCTGGTAAAGTTGACAGATACAATGGCACAAGACTGTACTGTGTTCGGGAGCATGGGGTTGTGCCGGTGCCGTTGCGAATGCCGAGAATGGTTGTATGCACATCGTTCAACAGGTCCTTCAAGAAGTTGCAGGACATTGTCGTGCAGCTTCTTGGCCACTTTGTGCTCTTGGTGTATTCCAGCCTGTACCTGAGCACACCCTCCTTGGTTTTGGCGTGCGCTCTCCCTATATTGGCATTGTGGGACAGACATGCCGACTGTACCCGTGCTCTCATGCCATTGTACGAAAAGTGGACACGTTTTGGTGCCCACTTCAGTATGACAGCATGGAAAATTTCCAGACTACAAATCATACTGTACCTTGTATTTGTGGCAGTGTAGCTGCAACCGGAAAGTAACGCAATGGAAACTTACAGATAAAGAGAACCGAAATAACACACATGATAACGTTCCATGTACATTACATCAATTCTCGACTTCACTGACTAGGATTTTGAGTAGAGGACTTTGAGTTGGACTGTAGTCGTTTAGAGCTACGTTCTGGACGGCACAAAATCATGCCGTTCACTTACCTCATCGTGCTCACGTTCCTGGAAGTAAATCGAAGATGGTCTGCTTTTGCTGGCAGCAGAGGTAGAGGAGCTACTAACTATTAGTATGACATGCACCGCCAAGTTTCAGGATGGCAGAGACCCTGGCTTCAAGCGTCGCTGCTGCTTCTGCTTATAGCCACCAATGCTTTGTGCAAACTCTTGTTGGAAATCTCTTTCATAGCACACCTCAGTGAAATGCTCAGTGCAGACACGATTATTTTTCGTCGGAGAAAAATCCTTCCAACATACTCTCCATAGCCAAGCTGTCGTCAGGTTCGCGTCAGCCAGAGGAAAGCCATGCTACGACAGCCCGCAGGCGCCTCTTTCTTCGTGACATTGTTGCATCCAGAGACGCAGCAGCGAGTCGTGACAATAAATCGGGCATGGCACAGAACAACAAGCACTTCAACAATGGCCAAGGACTTTTCATTCTTGCTTCAATTATTTGAAAATTTCATCTGAGTGGACCGGGCTGAGAACGTTTTACGTCACAGGGTGGGAGGGGGCGGGAGGGGGCCCCCTCGTGCCAAATATGGAAAATTGCAATTGGTAATTTAGGTATGTTATCCTTGTCGTAGAAGCTTCCGGTTTTCGCCATTCTACCACTTACGACATACTCTAATGGATTCCGCAATAAAAAATGGGGGTGATTTTGGACCGGAGTTCCCCTTTAAAAAACGCTATTATCCGGTGTTGGCTGCGCAAACTTTTATTACTAGTTCACAGCAGTGATTCCAAACCTCAAATCCTCATGGAATAACGCTGGTTTTCAAGTATTGCCGTTTTAAAAGCCAAATCAGACACACACAATGAGCAAAGTGAAGGCAATCACATGAATTGTTTGATTTACTCGCGCTTCACTCACGGAGCGGGCAGTCTGAACTACATGTGCACTTGAAGCTACAGAACATAACGGTGTAGTAACATAACGGTGTAGTATAATTATGTACCTCTCCACTGGTAGGGAGAACTCTGAAGCAATCTGAATCAGCCAGGTCTCCAACACTGCTGGCCAGAGCAGTATAACATCCGGTACGTTCAGAATGGCACATTGGCTTATCATGGCCGGTGAAAGGACTTCAACACTGTCACACTCCATTAGAAAGCGAACATCGTCTGAAATAATTCAATGCAAAGCACACAGCAGAGAAAACACGGAATTTGCTAGCCATCGTCCATTCCTACAGTGTTGCAGAACCACAATGCTTGCGCTCATCATGTATCACAAAATAATGAACAGCCATGGTACAAAACGCACTTTGCATTACTACTGTGAGATACGATACTCTGACAGCCAGCTTACATGTGGCAACAGTAGAGAAAGCACGCTGCGCTATTGGAAGCAGACACAAGATACAATGAACTTGGAGTTTGTATGGCGTGAATAGGTACCTATCTTGTGTCGCGAATGGCACCACCATTCGCGAATCTTTCTTGTATAATACTATTGTTGTATTATATTGAGTCGTTTATGTCTCTCTAACTCCCTTATACTTCAAAGTAGGATCTGTGCCGTTTATGGATCCACGTCATGTATGGATCTGCGCCCTATATGGATCTGTGCCCGTTATGTCTAGGTTCCATATCGCATCTATGCACGCTTGTACGTATGCTTGTTTTGCTCTAAGTCTAAATATAGATAAACCCCACATGCGAGCTTTCCATATCTATTCAGTGTGTACTATGAGCTTGTTTATGGTGTCTCTTGCATGCGCAATCTATTTCCATGGAAGCCAGTTTACGTTACTTTCAGCATTGACTTCCATGCACGCTACTTTGCACACTTCAAGTGCAGAAATGTAGTTGTAGCTTCTTCGCCCCTTTTGGTGTATTCTATTTGTTGTATTGCTGCGCGTACACATTACTGCCTGCGCGCACACTTTGGTTTAGCTGTGGCACACAGCCACCTTTCATTATTCTTTCCTTTAGACCTCATGGTGGTCGCCACGTAGTTTGGTCTGTCCACTACCAACAGTCAACAGTATGATAACAGTGTTCTTGTAGCCGACATAATTATGCTCTCCCAATCTAAATCAGTTTGATATTATAATTAACGTCTCGCTACAAACTGGTGCCGAAACCTGGGATCATGCCAGGACCTAAGTTTTCTGGTACCCTCTATTTACGTCGGAGTAAACTACGCAAGTTGAAAACCGACATCGAGAAGAGTCTCGGAGACGCTGAGGTGCTCGCTAGTGAAATCGAAACGACGACCAGTGACAGTGACCATAGTGACTCAGCGCGCGCTGTTTCCGAATATCAACAAAAGCTAAGTAATTTGTTAGAAGTTGTGCAACTAGATTTATGTGCATATGATGATGCTTGTGAAGATGTTGCTAGCGCATTAGAATCATTGGATCTGGAGGACTCTGAGGAGGACAGAATGAGTGAGATCTCGTCATATTCAGACAGCTCAATCCTATGGAGCAGAACTGCTCAAACACTCAGACGATCTCTTCACCTGTCCTCACAGAGTACTCCATCCACTTCTGTCAAGTCTGAACCTAGAGCTGATGGCAGTTCTGCCACTCAATCTGATGCAATTGAACAGCGAATCAAGCAGCTAATCCAAATTAGCCAAACCACACAACAGCAAACACAGTCGTTCATTGCTGCCCAAACAGCCATGGCAAATCAACAGCAGCAATACATACAGCAAAGCCAGTCGACAGTTCTAACACAGAACATGCCAGGCAGCAGCACACCTCAACAGCATACAACAAACCTGCCAAAGTTGCACATCCCAAAATTCTCTGGAGATATACTTAAGTGGTTTGAATTCAGCGACATGTTCAAGGCGTCGATTGCTTCCCGTAACCTGTCTGACGTCGAGAAATTCTCTTACCTAAAGAGTCTTTTAGAAGGTCCTGCACTCGATACAATTGCAGGCTTGCCTTTGTCCAGTGCCAATTACAAGGTGGCCGAAACACTGTTATCTGATCGTTTCGGTAAAAAGCAAACATGCATCAATGCACATTACACTGCACTGCGAGATCTGCAGCCAGCCAGTAACCAGACGACATCACTTCGTACCTTGATCGATCAGCTGGATATCCACATGCGCAGTTTGGAAGCCCTTGGTGAGAACATCACTCAGGCGATATTTATATCCATTATCACCAACAAATTACCACGTCACACATTGGCCCAGCTAGAGTTAAAGAAGGGCTCATCGGATTGGACCGTGACCAGCTTATGCACTCACCTTCGAGAGTATGTTGTAGCCCATGAAGCTGCAGACCGACAATCATCTCAACAACCCTCCGACTCAGGTCCCTTCACCTCCAGTAGCCGAGTCAGTGACCCGATCACTTCGTCAGCCCACGTCTTGGCAACTACATCCATTGCCAAAAAATGTGTGTTCTGCAAAAAATCGCATTTTTCTGATGAGTGCCAAGAGTACCCTGACATCGAATCGCGGAAAAAACAAGCCAAAAGCCACTGCTTTCTCTGTCTTAGCGCTGGCCATAGTACTAGTTCTTGCAAAAGCACTCGCTATTGCTATCATTGTCGGAGTTATCAACACCATCGTAGTCTCTGCCCGGACAAGTTTGGTTTAGCCGCCGGTGACGTCAGCTCACCACAATCTTCTAGGGTAGCTGCCTCACCCACTAACACACTACACACCAATACATCGGTCGCAGCACAAGACCAGCAGCAAGATGAAATTTCAGCATGTACAACAGTATGTACACCTACCTCCAACACAATCATGCAAACAGCACTTGTCACACTGATCAACATGAACACATGCGATGGTACGGAACAGCAACCACTGCAAGCCCGATTACTCCTTGACACGGGTTCAAACAAATCCTTCGTGTCACAGTCTTTTCAAGAGAAAGCCAAGTTTACCGTACTTGGACAGGAGAAGCTACTGATCGGTAGTTTCGGTAGTAAGAAACGCAAATCGGTTGTCAGCGATGTTGTCCGCGTCACCTTTTCCACAACTGATGGGTCACCTTTCACAATGGTTGCCAACACCCACCCACAGATCACCGCTCCTGTACGTCAGTGGCCAGTGGATTCCAAACACCTTCCCACCTTGAAGAGCCTTACACTAGCAGAGCCTCTATCTGACGCATCACACTTACCTATCGATATTCTGATTGGTCTTGATCATTATTATGACATAGTTAGTGATCAGCATCTCCGCTTGGGTGACGGGATGATCCTTATTCAGTCTACTGTCGGATTCATCCGCACAGGTCCAGTCTCTTGCCAGATCACTCAGCCGAGTAGTCCTTTGGTTCTCTCATGTGACGCACAGCCCGACATTGACATCAGTCGTTTTTGGAATTTTGAAGAGATCGGCACAGCCACAACTTCAAGTAGTGATAGTCAAGTCGTGGACCAGTTCTGTCAATCCGTGTCCGTTAACCGTGTCGATGCTATCAAATCAGTTCCCGACCTCACTGTGGGCTACGTCCAAAACAACCCAGCAGGTCTTCCATCGCGTGGTGTCACAGCATCATTCCTTCAAGACTCATCTCTCGTCTCTCCAGAATGGCTCAAGGACACCTGCCCGGTAACAGCTTTGCCGTCTGGGGAGGGTCCTTCGTATGTACATGTAGCTCAGGAAGTTCCAAATCAGGGTTCAAAGGATTCAGTGGTTCATCGCCTAGCTAACTTGTCACTAAAGAAAAAGAAATCTGATGCACATATTAACCCACCATTTGGCATTGATTACACTAGGTTTCCATCATTTAGTACCTTAGTGCTTGTGTTTGCACTCTGCCTATGTTTCCTGTCCAGTTTACTCAAAGCCGCTGAGTCACCATCTGGTCCTGTCACTGCGTCAGAAATTAACCGAGCTAAACAACTCTGGAGTCAGCCTCCAGGAGGTGCCCCAGCCCCTTTCCTTTGCGATAATGTACCACAGTTCATATTGGCACACTCAGGGATGAACGAAGCTTACTGAAAAGCTGTGAATTCCGATGAGATGCAGCCTGACTATTTGTCAAGCTTGCGCCGTGAACGCACCCGACGACAGCATCACCGGAGTCGCTCTTCCAAAGCCGAGCCCAGAATCGATTCAGTAACACTAATTGGTGACAATACCCCCAGGGCAACTTGTAAATCGGCAAGTATCAAGAAGCTGCACGTTGGTCCTCATGAATTGGTGCGCTCTGCCATAGTGTCGACAGCAGATGGAACTGAGCTGCACCGACCTCTGCAACTTCTGTATCCACTTGAGTGTGACGCCGAATGTCAGCCAACCGCTTCAACTCCTGCTCTTGCTATTCATCAAGACTCAACACCTGCTGTTCCCCCTAGTAACCTTGAAACACCAGCTAAGCGCCCCCCTCGTACGACAGCGGTTCGTCAATGCCATCCTGGCCCCGGAGTGTCGCGAATGGCACCACCATTCGCGAATCTTTCTTGTATAATACTATTGTTGTATTATATTGAGTCGTTTATGTCTCTCTAACTCCCTTATACTTCAAAGTAGGATCTGTGCCGTTTATGGATCCACGTCATGTATGGATCTGCGCCCTATATGGATCTGTGCCCGTTATGTCTAGGTTCCATATCGCATCTATGCACGCTTGTACGTATGCTTGTTTTGCTCTAAGTCTAAATATAGATAAACCCCACATGCGAGCTTTCCATATCTATTCAGTGTGTACTATGAGCTTGTTTATGGTGTCTCTTGCATGCGCAATCTATTTCCATGGAAGCCAGTTTACGTTACTTTCAGCATTGACTTCCATGCACGCTACTTTGCACACTTCAAGTGCAGAAATGTAGTTGTAGCTTCTTCGCCCCTTTTGGTGTATTCTATTTGTTGTATTGCTGCGCGTACACATTACTGCCTGCGCGCACACTTTGGTTTAGCTGTGGCACACAGCCACCTTTCATTATTCTTTCCTTTAGACCTCATGGTGGTCGCCACGTAGTTTGGTCTGTCCACAACCAACAGTCAACAGTATGATAACAGTGTTCTTGTAGCCGACATAATTATGCTCTCCCAATCTAAATCAGTTTGATATTATAATTAACGTCTCGCTACATCTTGGGCATTGTATTGAGATGCACTTTCCGTGGTGTCAACCCGGTGCGCATTGGCGTTAATTCAAATGACTCTGCTAGATTTATGTATATGAATTGTACAGCTATCTGGTGCAAGTCTTGATTTCATTCAGATCTTTTCTGCTACCATTGCTTTTAATACTCGAATATGAGTGTTTGACCAGCCAGTGCACTTGCAGGTTTGCATGCTTCTTGTGCAACAATTACTTCCATGACACAAGTTAGATAAATGGCACACAGGCCGAACATGCACACTGAAGACTCAGTAAAGTGTGCATTCGGTAGTGTATGTACAGAGACCTCACGCACAGCATACACCACACTGGATAGATACCATCCGGGGCAGATACCCTACAACACAGACACCACCACATGCGGTCACAGTAGACACTTCGCTATATACAGGCCAGGCACACAAGATCAAGTTATCATCTCACCATTCACTGGTACATTCCTAGGAGTCGCTCCAGAGAAGGATTTCCACATATCAACAGCAGTGGCAAGTGAGTCGACCAGTTGACTGTCAACAGGCCCATCCAGCACTATCCAGTGTTTTCCAGTGCCAGCTACTGTCTGGTCTGTTGCAGTCTTCTGACGATCCGAGCCAGGCTTTCTACGTTGCTTGCGATGCTCCTTTGAATTGGCATAGGTCAGGAGTAGTGACTTGAGATGGCCAAGTTGACTTGGTGTATCATCAAGGGTGCTGCCAAATATCTACAAACAGTACACAGTGACATAGATATAGCAATGGTTTACACACTTGCCTGGCTATTAACTCTCAACATAGTAGAACCATAGTCACAGTACTCGCTTGCACCGAAATGTCCTAGTGCTAGCTTGTGATTTGTTGCATGCTAGTAATGTGCATTCCGTCCCTGTACTGTCTTATATTAGCCATTGTTTATCTTCTCCTATATCCCTGGTGATGCCCTCCTGGGTGAATTTCGGACACAAGTATTTGCATGGTGTAGCCAAGGATTGTGTGTTGCGGGTTGGATGTTGATCGGAAATATTCGGATCAAATCAACTGTGTAATTTGCAGTCAACTTATGAGAAGCGCTCATTATATGCTAAACAATTTGAAAAGTCTATGCTGCTATTGGCCTACGTTTTACCAGAGAGGAACTCCTTGCCAGTTAGCCCAATAGGTTTTAGCGGTAGTCAAGTTACAACTTACTTGCTGCTCAGAGTTTGCCCTTGGGAATAGCGTTGTCGTGCTGATTGTGTTTTCATGATCCGTACCCACAGCCAGTCTGGACAATGCACTACTACCCAGGCGAGACTGGGCCATGTGTGAGTTGAGCCTACTGTGACGACTCCGCCGACTCATTCTACTCGCCTGGCCTAGCAGTGGGTTACTGGTGTCAGCATTCTTGCTTAGGTATGCATTCAAGCTCTGCTCCAGGACTTGAATGATCCGAGACTTGCCAGAGCCTGCACTGCCCAGAACAATGACACTAGCATGTGTTCGCAGCAGGTCATATAACTCCAGTGTCTAGAGGAAAGAAAGTACACAGCAACAACGATGATGATCACGACGACGAGAGAGATGACCAATATAGAAACACCGTGACGTAGTGAGACAGTGAAATAAAAAAGGTACATGTAATGTGCTCACAGCCATCTGTAACTGAGATCTCTATTCTCCAGTGGTCTTGAAGAACATCACTTAACAAAGGACTGGCCACCAAAGGGGCATTTATTTCAGGTCGAATATTCAATGCACAGAGTGCACATGTCATTGTGCAGCACAGATGGTTGGGGGGGGGGGGGGGGGGGAAGGATAATGCAACACCACATACCGGTCATACATGACACCAGGACACTGGAGTCTTCTATAAAAAGAGCTATAGAGGTTATGAGAATGATTTCATGGAGGCGAGTCAGCGGAACCGCTTATGGGCGCTATGTACGCAGCGGGTGTCGCTAGTGCGGCGCTGTGCCACACCTTCCCCAAACATCTCAACTGATGATGCAATCGCATAACCTCTATAGACCTACACCCAGTTATACAGTTATACTTACTTTTTCAACAAATCTACCAGAACATGTTTGAAGTCGGTTGTCGTCCAGGCAAATTTGGATCTCCAATGAGAGAACGGCTCTACACTCCATCTCCTTGGTCACATGATAGGAGTACTCTGTACTGCCATACTCAGATGATGATGTCGCCGTATCACTGGATAGGAGATCATTGAGAGTGGCAAGCTGCTGCCCGCTGAACACCGGTCTCAAGCACGTTTGTAAAGCAGCCTGGACAAGAGATTTCTCAATCATCTGCATTGTGTGCGGGCACAAATGGTATACATACATGCTATATACATGTATACTTCCACATCCCGCTGCCATGGATGTGATGTGGAGCCTCACCAAGACAATAACATATTATGTTATGCTGCGGAATGTCAGACTTCTTGTCCAGTTAAGAATACAAAATGCTTTTAAAATCTCTATTAGAGCAGTTTTTTACTTACTTATGTCTGAAAAAACAAGTTCTATTCACAACGTTAAAACAGTCTCATTTCTGGCTTGAAAGGTTTAGCTGCGCAACACAGTTCTTCACCATAATTACTATAGTGGGAAAGTCTAGCAGTCGATCTTCTGCGGCAGCAGATCAGTCAAACTCAAGCTACTCAGTCTTTCTGTGGATTTGTTCCTTTCTTCTGCCCCAAACGGTAGACTCTACTTCATTCTAGCGCTACCAGGTTTGAGGCTGGTAAAACAGTAAAAAGTCGGAAGAAGCAAGAAGTTGGTAGAGGTACGGGACTTCTATATATCTACATAAATGGATCAGTTTTCCACAGCACCTCATAAACCATACTTGTAAATGTTGCAAAGATGACTTCGTGTCGATGGCCTACTAAAGTGGGTAGGTAGATCTGCATTTGTCCATTTCCAACCACCGTTTTCTTTTTTTCATAATCTGTTTTACTCTACTCTACCAGAATCCGAAAGGCCCGAGCAAAAAAAAAGGAGAAAAAAGAATGTCCTCCCCGGCCGGGAATCGAACCCGGGTCTTCCGCGTGACAGGCGGAGATACTTACCACTATACTACCGAGGATTGACTGACAAGCAACATCTAAGTTTACAATGAAAAGACCAAGAGTATGACCCATGCAGCAGAGCACTCTATCTGGCACGACTCACAAGTAAAGTCCGCTGCGGATCCTTGTCAACATCAGTCTGTGCGTCTGCCTGACGTAACTCTTCTGCAACCAATCTCTTAGCAGCAGCATACTGGACAATATGCTGAAGATGTGACGGAGATAGGACGGCTCGTTGTGACTTGTCCAGCTGCGTTCTGAACGTTTTGAGAATGCCAACCAGCCAGCATGCCAACTGTTGGCATTCCACGAAGCCAGCTGAACACAGCTGCACAGTTGCGAGTGTTAGCTCACTGGGTAACTGCACATTGATGGGACGAGTAGCTACCTGCAGTGTTCAGCAACACACAGCGGCACACATATACACACATAGACACACATTCGTGTGTTTGTGTGCGTGCGGGCGCGCACACACATTTTGGACCTTTTGACGCCCATCACCGGAGGCGATGATAGCGATGCTACAGCAGAAGCCATAGCAGCTTGTGCTGGGATTGCACCATTCAACAGCTTGCAAGACTGAAGAATTGACCACCACTATTCAGCCTGGTCTACACCACACAGCTATGAAGTGGCCTTTTCTGGCCATTGAATCCCTATTTTTTGGTCTTTTTGCGCGCGTGCGTGCGTGCGCACCCACACCATGTACCATGTACCATGTATACGCCCGTCGCAAGAGAAGCACGCAAATCTGCAAATGCACTGGATGTGCACCCACAGATTTTCTCTTTATAGCAACGATAGCGGATCTGATTCTGATTAAAACACACACACACATATACACACACACAGATGAATGCACGCCACACATACACACATGCATATACACCCACACATACATACACAAACAGTTCTTTCCTTTGTTGCCAGAAATGCATGCATCACAGAAGCATACTCCCTGGTTCGAGTCCTGGTGGTGACAGTCAATTTTTTCTTCAGACTTTTCTTTTCTTTTCTTTTCTCTTTCCCTCAAACTAGTGAAAATACTAACTTCAAACTACAGTGATGCTCAATGAAATCCGAACAAGCTAGCGAACGCCACGCAGGGCGCTGGGCAGCCCTAGACCTGCAAACACTGGGATGCGAACTCGCGCAGGGGCAAACTTGATTCACACAATCGGATCTCATTGATAGGGGTGAAACGAATATACCGAATATTCGAATATTCGTTCGTTAGGCCTCAGCAAACGAACATTCGAAGTTCTCGCGAACATTCGAACTTTGAGTGGTACAGTACCGGTACGGTGGTACACGACCTGCGCGCGCGGTTCACGGAGATTGTCAACAGTACATGGTCTGAACCAGCCCTTGACGGCTTGAGACGATCGAGGCGTCTACTACTGGTACATGTAGGCGAACTTCGGAACACTCCGAACAGCGCAGTACTTACATTTTGTTCCTAGGTCTTCCGCTGACCACTTTGTAGTATTTCTGTTGTTTCGTGTTCGGACTGCTATACTGTCAACATGTCGAAACCTGTTTTTGGTTGTGCTTCCCGATCTGTAGTTTGGGACCATTTCACGAAATCCGCGGATGGAAAGTCGGCTACATGCAGGATCTGCCGCAGTGTATGTGTCTATCACGGCAAAACTACGAGCAACCTGCATGCCCACCTGAAATCACAACATCCCTCTGTCGTGTCGGGAAGTGCAGCTGCAAATAGTTCTACGCCGTCAGCAGGAAGTAAGTTGATGACGGACTTTGCTGTGAGTCAACGTTCTGGTCCGCAGCAGAAACAGTGCGGCACTGCTCAAGCGGAGGCCATTAGCCAACTGCTCGTCAACTGGGTGACGGGCAGCATGCGCCCGCTGAACATCGTAAAAGATCCTGGCCTTCAGAGTCTGTTGGCATTCTTGCAGCCTGGCTACAGGGTACTGAGTCGAACCCACCTCACAGCCATGATTCGCTCCCGTTTTGAGTCAGGACGAAAAGAGCTTCGTGAGCTGTTGGCGGATGTGGAGTACGTGGCAATCACAACGGACGGATGGACATCAAAGGCGTTCGTTCCTTCGCCACGTACACCGTCCATTTCCTAGACTCAAGTTGGAAAATGAAAAGCTACGTCCTCGCCACGAGGCCTCTTGATGAGCGCCACACGGCGGACAATGTGTCCAACCATGCTCGTGCTGTGATCCACGAATTCGGGCTTGACTCAAACGTCACTGCACTAGTGCATGATGAGGCGTCTAACATGGTTGCAGCATCACGGTCGCTGAGGCAGGATGGCACCTGCGCTGAGTCGCTGGTGTGCTCTGCGCACATGTTACAAACGTGCTTGCGACACGCAATCGACGATTCGCCGCAAGTGCAGAAGATGCTGGGTCAAGCCAGGAAGCTTGTCACCTACTTTCATCACAGTTCTGTGGCAACCAACCGTCTTGTGAAGCGCCAGGAGTCCTACATAGCTGCTGGCAACGCACCATCTGGAAGTCAACCTCTCAAAGTAAGAGCGTTTACTTGACTGATTCTGTTATTTATTGTGTTTTATTATGTAACTTATGTTCAGTTAGATTAGGATTAATGTAAGTGTAGGGTTTTTTTTGTCTCACCTTCATAATTATGATTCATGTGACATGTCAGAAATAAATTACTTCTTGAGTTTCTGATCACTTACCCAGTGTTCTCCTTGCTTCATCTGTCACTCCAGGTAATCCAGGATGTACCCACCAGGTGGAACAGCTCGTTTTATATGTTGCAACGTCTTGTCGCGTTGAAGGTGCACATCACGGCTGTGCTTGTGGACTCCGTACTCACGCCAAGCGAGTCTCACCGTGCGCTTCTACTGAAGCAGAAGTACTGGTCACTTGCCGAGGAATTGGTCAAGGTGCTTGGGCCAGCTGAGAAGGCCACATCACTCCTCAGCGGACAGCAGTATGTCACGGCATCCTGCACTTTGCCAATTGTGACTGCTATCGTCCGGTCCACTGAGGCACATCGTGAGCGTATCCAGGCTGATGAGACCGAGGAGCACCGCACTCGCACAGCTGCTCAAGAGCACCGCACCAGGATGGCTGCCGACAGGACTAAGCATGTAGCGATGAAGTCCTTCTGCAAGGATCTTGCGCAGAACATCCGGCTGAAGTTCCAATTGGACCCAGTGGATGAATGCTCACTGCCAACTGTTGCAGCATCATTGGATCCGCGCTCCAAATCCCTGACCTTCCTGCCATCGACGGATGCTCGGGATGGTTTGAAGCTCGAGTTACTTCGCCGGTGCAGTCAGCACATTCTGCACACGGAGCTGGAGGTAAGCGAAGTGGAAGTCATTGAGCCAGCAGCCAAGCGGATACCCCCGAATGATCTCGACTTGTTCTTCGGTGGTGCTGATGATCCGGAAGTGTCAGCGTCCGTAGCCATTCAGCAAGAGGTGGAGTGATTCCTTGCTGAGGCTGCTCTTCCATCCTCTGCAGATCCGTTGGTGTGGTGGGCGCAGAATGCGTCGCGCTTTGTGTACTTGGCAAAGGTGGCACGGCAGATATTGTGCGTGACTGCTACATCCGTACCCAGCGAACGGGTCTTCTCCGCCGCCGGGCACATTGTGTCGAAGCTCCGTTCTGCTCTCGCTGCGGAGAATGTGGATGCCCCGATCTTCCTGCAGCAGAACTGGAGCCTTCAAGCCAATCAGGTGGACGTCCCAGCCAATCTCCTGCCTCTCTCCACTGAGCCTGAGCCAGTCGCCCTGGATGTGGTCTTGGAAGAGGAGCTGGATGATGCGGCCCCACCTCTTCCAAACGTGTGAGGTAAAGTAGAGTCTTGCCTTGTTTGTTGGTATTACTCTGTAACAGGTAGATCGGTTGTATTCTTTTCTCATATTGTTCTCTGATTGCCTGTGTTCCTCCTTCCACTTTGATTAATTGAACTTTTCTTTGTGTTCTTCTTGTGAATTTCTCTGCGTTGTCTGCAGGTTGCTGGTTGGTGTGAACGGTACTGAGTGCAACGGTGTATGTCTGTGTGTTGTTTGCCCTTTAGCCGTTCCTTTTAGCTGTTTTCTATGCACACTTGCCTGTTTGGGAGTCTCTATATTCGGTCAGACACTTGAAGTTGGAATGGCTCTGTTTCACTCTGTTGAGGTCTTCAAGTTTCGCTATTTATTTGTTCTTTGGGAGTCAGGGCCCCTCTGCCCGTTCTTTTTTTGCTGATTTTGTTTGTGTGTTTATTTGTTTGGGAGTCTCTCTTCTTGTCCAGACACTTGAACAATATTGAATGACCAATGCTTCCATTGTGCGGGCAATTTTTGAACGCGTCATGAAAGATGTATTCAAAAATTCCACTGTATGTTTTGGTAATACCGGGCTGTACACGAGCACACGTGTGTGAGGTGAATGTTAGAGAATGTTCGTTCGTTAACATCAAGAACGTTCGAATACTCAAAATTTATGTTCGTTTCAGCCCTACTCATTGAGCAGCACAGTATAAAAGGACTCTAGTGGGTTACACAGGAACAGAATGCACTAACCTGAACACTAGTAGGCATGCGGTGATAGTGATACGGGCCTGACCATATCATGATAGTACCATATCCATCACGAGCATTCAATGTATGACCAGCGTGCATCACATTGCCAGCACTGGACAATGAACCATGTGTGTATGCGTGGCAGGCTGGCACTAAGCCAGCACTGCACTCCTCTGGAGCTGCGCAGGTTGCAAATGTGCTAGTCATGTCGGTGCTGGCTATGGGGTTCTATAGGACAAATGGATGCACACATTTACATGCACACACGCATATATATGCACACACATACGAATGCACACACACAAACACACACACACACACACACGCGTGCGCGTGCACAACGAGGAGAAGAATCCGTGATGTCAATCCACAAGATGAACATGCAGATATCCGTAGAGAAGCGTTCGCAGTGATAGCGCAGAGTGGTCTTTCCTTACGCACATGTGGATAACGGTGCTGTGACATAATAGGATTACGCCGCTCTCAATTCAGTATGATATCACGCAGCTCTCTCAACTATGTCAACTACAACAGTGACCCACTTTAAGTGTGTAGGTGATAGCTTCATATACTAGTAGGTAAGTGAAGTGAACTTGACGAAGATCGTGAGCCAGGACCTTGATAAGTTCATCTTCCAAACCTGACACCTCATCCTCCACCTCCAGATGAACATTGTCACTCTGGCTACACGAACATGCCGTTGGACACGCACGCACAAGAAAGGTACACATCTGCACACAACACATACCCATAATGGGCACATGTGTGAAAACACAAATTTACTGTTGCATACGGTGAAAACCCAGCACTATTCACACTGTCATACCTTTGTACAAGTGGAGCTACTGGTGACTGAAGTCTTGATCATCAAATGCTGAATGGAATGGGCTATATCAGTCAGCCAGTCAGAAAGGACGATCAGCTTATTATTGAGCAGACAGTGAGCATGCTCAAAGCACAGGAAGGCTCCAGCCTGGACGGCACCACATATGTACTGGCTGATCACTTGCAAAGGTACTGATTGAGAGCAATCCAGCATGACCAGAAGACGGGCTAATGTCTGAAGAAATGCAAAGAGAGAGTAGGAAGCCGGCATGGGAAAATTGGCTAGAATTAGCCTAAAGTGAGAATTCACGAGAAATGGATAAGTTGACAAAAGGAACACATGGAACACACACACACACACACACACTCAGACTCAGACACACACACACACACACACACACAGTATCGCGACAGAATAGCCACATAGGAATAGTACTATAGAGCCATGTAGTTGGCCATATGTACAGACGTCTGCCAACACTAACCTTTGCTAGCTGCTTGATAGTGCTTGACTTCCCAGACTGCTTGTGACCATAGAGTAGAGGAGTATGCCGGCCAGACAGTGCATGCAGTACAGTGATCATAGTAGAACTGGTAAGCAGTGTCTGTGGTAATACACAGTCACCAGAGTAATACTCATAGCCATACGCATACCTACTACCCAAGTGTGTAGCAGATATGCTGCATGGCGTGGTGCTCCGAGCTGAAGGGAATTTCCCTTGCAGCTGGGGAAGAGGATCGTCGGGACTATCACCAGCATCAGGAACTGGATCAGCCGTGTAATGAAGATGTTGTAGCCAGGAAAAGTCATGGGGGCCACGGCAGTCCTGCAAGAGCAGGTCTACAGAAAACAAAGAAGAGAACTCAAGTTTATAGAACAATCTATTCGCACACATACATACATACACACACACACACACCATGTACCACACACACACACACCATGTACCACACACGCACGCACGCACACGCACACACACACGCACACACACACACACACACACACACACACACACACACACACACACACAAATGAGCTATCGTACTGTTGTAAAACTTTGCACTGGCGATATGTTGAACCACAGTGCCGGCTTTGCAATACTAGGCCTGCACACCCACAAAAGGGTGTATTTTGGAATGGGCTTGTGCACATATCGTTGTGGACATTGAAATCCGATGGGATGACCGGGGACAGCACCCTTACTACCTTTAGAGCGTATATCATGCGGCACTGTACTTCACATAAACACTGTAGAATGGACCTGCAGTTGTTGCGGCTGCAAGGCCTGAGCCCCGTGGCCGCTTGACTTTTCAACGGATTTCAGTGTCCACAACAGTACTAAACTGTACTAGTGAGTGTATACAGTGCATTTCAAAACTATAGACGCGTAGGATTTTTGAAATATTGCAAGTTTTGCGTAGCTAAAGTATGTTAACGCGGTGACGTAATGTTTTCACTGTATGCTGATGTCTATCACGCGCGTGTTCGCGCCAGCTTACGGATGCGCCGTTGTGCGCATGCGCAAACTCTCCCAGCAGCTCGCTTTGCATACGTACACCCTTCAGCAGCCTTCGTGCCTGGCTCTCTTTGTTAGTTGCATTGGCTCGCATGACTCTTGCTCCGTGTTTTCGTTCGGCAACCCGCCAAACGACACATCTATGATCTTGCCACATGGGTGGAAGCGTTCACCACCTACTCGAGGGTGCTGGCCGACGCCTCACCACAGCTGGCAGGTGATCTCTGGGCGTATCAGGCCATCATTGTCGATGCCAACGTCCGGTTCCACAATGATGCCTGGCTGTCCTACGACCGCAAATTCCGTATGGCCAAGGCGTCCCTCCCTCACCGCTATTCCTGGTCCGTCATTGACCCGAACCTGTGGCAGTCTTGTCTCACGGGCCGTGGGCGGCCTCCGTGCCAGCGTTGCTCCATGGTCCATCCAAGTCAGCCCAGCAGCTGCCCCTTTCGTGGGGGGCTCCCAGCCCCAACAGCGCCTACTGGGAGCCAGTTCTCGCACCAGCCTCGCTTTGACGGCAAAGCCATCTGTCGTAATTTCAACTACGGCAGCTGCTTGCTCTCCCCCTGCTCCAGAGCACACGTCTGCATGCAGTGCCGCGGCCGTCACCCCGCACGCCAATGCTCCAAGTCTGGTGACTCGACCAAGAAATAACTCTCACCCCAGTGGTGACGCTGCTTTACAGGTGCCCACTAGCACGCCTGTTCATGTTCGGCGCTTTATCAATCTTCTCTCTCCTCATCCAAATGCAGTATTTCGCTCTTATGTTTCACAAGGCATGCAGTATGGCTTTCGTATTGGCAGCTCTCGCCCCATTGCATCTTCTGTTATGTCTCCTAATCACCCTTCGGCTTGTGCTTGCCCTGCTGAGGTTACTACTCATCTGCTTACCTGTTGTGACCGCGGAGAAACTGCGGGCCCATTTGCATCTCCGCCATTCCCTCACATGCATATTTCTGGTTTGGGTGCTATCCCGAAGTCTAATGGCAAACTGCGTATCATCCACGACCTCTCGTCCCCTGCCGGCTTGAGTGTGAATGACGGTATATCTCGGGATGAATTCAGCCTGCAGTACGAAACTGTCGATACAGCTATCTCTCTGATCATGCAGGCAGGGCGTGGCGCTCTTTTGACGAAGGTCGACATCAGGAATGCATTCCGTCTCTGTCCTGTTGCCGCCTGTGACTGGCCCTATCTAGGCATCTTCTGGCAGGGACAATTCTATCATGACAAAGTGCTACCATTTGGATTGCGTTCTGCACCATACATATTCGATAAATTCGCCACAGCAGTCCAGTTTATTCTCGAGGATGCATGCCACCTAAGCCAATTACTCCACTACCTGGACGACTTTCTGAACGTTAGTCCGCCCCACCTGCCCGTTGCGGAACATCATCGCTCACTTATCTTAGACATGCTCCGCTATTTGCAGATACCGGTGGCCTCTGAGAAAGTCGAAGGCCCATCCACATGTCTCACCTTCCTCGGCCTGGAGCTGGATTCGCTGACGTTTGAGATCCGGCTACCGTCCGCCAAACATGGGGCGTATCTCGGCAAAGTCAACGGCCTCCTTCAATCAGGCATGGCGTCCCGGCGCGAACTCGCCTCCGTGTTGGGCAATCTCTCGTTCGCGGCCCGGGCTATTCCTGCCGGTCGTACCTTCCTGAGGCGCCTGTACGACCTTGACCGTGCAACAAGCAACCTTCCAAAGCACAAGGTTCTCACCCTGTCAGCCGGAGCAGTGAACGACCTCAAATGGTGGCAGCGTACCCTATCAGTCTGGCCAGGGAAGTCGTTCTTCCTCCTGGACAAATGGACAAAGGCGCCCAACTTGCAATTGCAGACTGATGCCAGCGGTAACCAGGGCTATGGAGCGTACTTCCAGGGACGATGGATCCGTGGAGCATGGTTGCCCCACCAGCATTCAGAGTCCATACAGTATAAAGAACTGTACGCTATTGTCATCGCAACCAGTACATGGGCGTCAGAGTGGAAGTCCCTCCGTATTGAGTTTCAGTGCGACAACTCAGCTGTTGTAGACTGCATCAAATCCGGCACCAGCAGATCGCCACCCATGATGTCTCTAGTTAGGTGTCTGTATCACCTTTGCGTTGCTCACGATTGCCTGATTTCAGCAGTGCACATCCCTGGTGTTACAAATACCATTGCCGATGCTCTTTCCCGGAATCTGTTGCAGGAATTCCGCTGCCTGGCACCCACGGAACAGCTCCATCCGGACATGCCGATCTTGCCCACACCGGACTGACCGAAGACGTGGCCAGGCTGGCGTCCCTGGCAATAGCACCGTCATCCAGGAGGACATACTCAGCTTCAGAGCGGCGGTACCTGGATTTCTGTCAGCAGCATGGCGTCGTGGCCCTGCCTGGAAGCGACGTTACGCTGTGCTACTACGCAGCCCTCCTCATGCGCACACTGCGGCCGGCCTCGGTTCGCACATATATGTCAGCCATCCGGAACTTACACGTCGAAATGGGCCTCGAGTACCCGAATCAGCCGACGTCCCTGCTGTCACGAGTGTTAAGAGGCATAGCCCGTTCGTCGGGACCTGGCCGCCCTCGTTTGCCTATCACAACACCCATCCTCCGGCAACTCTGCCAACGCCTCCAAGTTTCCTCCATGCGGCACCCAGTTGACCAGGCAATGCTGCAGTGCGCCTTCACCCTGGCCTTTTATGGCTTCCTGCGCTGTGGTGAGCTCACCTCGTTGACGTTTGGCAACGTGGCCCTGGACCAACAATCATTTCGTATCACCATCACGCTGCTGCAATCAAAGACGGACCCGGACGGTAGGGGCACGGTAGTCCACGTGGGCGGCTGTACCGATGTCATCAGCTGCCCTGTTACGACGATGGTGCGGTACCTGACGGCAGTGTCAGCGGAGTCCCAATCTCCTAGAGATCAGCTGCTCGTCTACCACAATGGCCAGCCTCTGACACGAGCGGACGTCACGAGGGAGGTGCGGACCCTCCTACCGCTTTGTGGGATTACAGATCCGTCCAGCTATGCCAGCCACTCATTCCGGATCGGAGCAGCCACGTCTGCAGCTATCGCAGGCGTACCAGAGCACGTGATCCGCCATATGGGGCGATGGCGCAGCGACGCCGTGCTGCGCTATATCCGTGTTGAGCCATCCGAGGTGCGGCTAGTATCAGAGAAGCTGGCCACAGTGAGTGACTGACCAGTAGCGCTGCACCTTGACGAATGTCTCCTCCGGTATACGTACCAACTCTCAGTACCGCTATCGGTACCTAGATTTCTCGACTGCTAGCAGCTCCTGCTATACTCCTCGTTCAATGCTCGCGTTATTTCTGAGCACTGACTTATTTGGTTGGCCCACCAGGGTAACTAGCTTGGGCACTGAACTCTCAGTAGCTGGCAGCATTCTCTCTACTCTCCCGAATCACTCTATTCGGTTACTGCCCTTGGCAGGTCAGCCGCCATTTCGGTCTCACTCTCGGTCCCCGCCTCTGTCGGGTCGGCCGCCTCCATGGTTACACACTGCCAGCTCCTTCGCCCAGTTACCCTGTGGTGCCAACCAACTACTGCTGTGTCTGTGTGTGGGTCGTGTATGCCTCCGCGTACGGAGCATGCGTTAATGCAAGTTTTGCGTAGCTAAAGTATGTTAACGCGGTGATGTAATGTTTTCACTGTATGCTGATGTCTATCACGCGCGTGTTCACGCCAGCTTACGGATGCGCCGTTGTGCGCATGCGCAAACTCTCCCAGCAGCTCGCTTTGCATACGTACACCCTTCAGCAGCCTTCGTGCCTGGCTCTCTTTGTTAGTTGCATTGGCTCGCATGACTCTTGCTCCGTGTTTTCACCCACCCACCCACACCGACTTCATTGTGTTACAATTCTCATTCTGTAGCACCCCGCTTATACTACTAACCTCATTCGTCTTCCAAACTCACTCTGCTAAACAAAAACAAGCAGGGATTGGGCACTGAACTCTCAGTAGCTGGCAGCATTCTCTCTACTCTCCCGAATCACTCTATTCGGTTACTGCCCTTGGCAGGTCAGCCGCCATTTCGGTCTCACTCTCGGTCCCCGCCTCTGTCGGGTCGGCCGCCTCCATGGTTACACACTGCCAGCTCCTTCGCCCAGTTACCCTGTGGTGCCAACCAACTACTGCTGTGTCTGTGTGTGGGTCGTGTATGCCTCCGCGTACGGAGCATGCGTTAATTAAAATTTGGCTGGAACTTTTTGAGAATAGTTTTCGGAATATTGCTCAGGATCGCTCCACAATTACTCTCATATAGTTTCTAAAGGATTGGATAACAGACGCCCAATTTGGAAAAATTTATGCACAAAGTGATCACAGATTTTATGTGGTATAGATGCTGGCATAACGGTTTTTGCCTAGGTACGCGTCTATAGTTTTGAAATGGACTGTAGTATATGTGTGTGTGTGTGCGTGCGTGCGTGCGTGCGTGCGTGCGTGCGTGTGTGTGTGTGTGTGTGTGTGTGAGTGTATAGTATAGTATAGTATATACTGACATTGGCTTAGTCTGTGAAAAATGAAATGTTTGGAATGCAGTATTATCAACTGCATTAACTACTTACCATTGAGGATGTCCATGTAAAATAGTATCTGCTGAACTACGGCAGAGAGCTTCAGTCTTGTCTGAACAGCCACACTGAAGTCAGTTGTCGTCATCAGATGACACAAGACCTGCTGATCAGCTTTCCAACATGTCCTACATAGCAGCAGCGCAGTAACCCCAGCAGTAGTAGTACCAGAATCAGCAGCAGCAACCACAGCAATAGCAACAACAGCAACAGCAACACAATAGCAACAGCAGCAGCAGCAGCAGCCGCAACAGGCAGCAGCAGCAGCAACAGCAGCAGCCGCAACAGGCAGACAGTAACATAGCATTTGAGGAAACAGACTCAGTAAAGAAGCCAAGATCAGAATCATGCCATGGAAGGATGATGAAGGGAGTCAGCATTGCATCAAGCAGGTTAGTGAGGCTCTTGGTTTCAAAGTCTGTACTGTAACAGCTATCATATTTGTAGAAAGGAGAAGAGAGTGTGCAAATATGCAAGAAGTACGTATGGATGACAAATATTTTCCAGCCATGATGTGATGTTCTTTCCAGTTTCTCTTTCTATCTGGAGGAAGAGGCTAAGTTCATAAGCACACTTAAGGTTCAAAACCTATATTCCATTTGAAGCTGATTCATTCTAATGGATGATGACCAGCCACATAGGCACAATGCATAGTGATAACCATGCACACCAACACTATGATAGCTAGTACTGTGATCTCTTACTTGTACTTGTGCAGGGCAATGCTAAGGGTGTCCTTCTCTGAACTCTCTAGTGCATGTTGGATACTGCTTGTCCGGTGGACCATCAAACTGATGAGTAGAGCTTGCACTGGCCATCTGCAAAGCCACTGCATCCAGTTATCGGCACTCCACTGTGTTTCAGACTTGTGCTCAGCATTGATAGCAAGTAGACAGGATAGACAATGATGTATCTCCACAGCCAGACTGTGGTGTATGGCCAGGTCCAGTGCATTCAACCAGGATTGAACAACACCACTGGTAAGAACAGGTGGATGAAGGGTTAGTGTTTCTCCAGTCAGGTTGCACACCGACACTGCACGCCATGGTAAACCTGTGATCCAATAATGATGAACACACGCACAGAGTACGTCATCTGCCTGCACTGTCCGCCTTCACAGCTGTGTCTAACATTGGCATTGTGTCTTCTGGTTGACAGATTGTGCGATACAGATCAGTAGTCTCAAGGTACACAAAATTGATGTCAATGAAACCTCCAGGGGTGGATCCAGAGATCTCCACAGGGGTTCCAGTTTAGCCAAAACTAAAAAGCTGATTATGGTCTCCAGTAGAACATCTGCGAAACTTAGGGTGTTGCGTGGAACCCATGGAATCCCCCCCCCCCTCCCCCTCCCTCCTGGATCCGCCCCCGAGTCCTCTATACAAGGGGATAAGGTGCTCCGGGGAATGCAATGAAGCACGCAAGCACTAAATATTTATCGATATGACTCACTGGTATAGCCAAACGGCAAGGACATTTGCAGACACACACACACACACGCACGCACGCACACACTCACACACACACTCACACACACACACACACACACACACACACACACACACACACACACACACACACACATAAATACAACCCCCCCCCCCTCTCTGAACATACACTGATAACATACAGGTTGCAGTAAGTATTGGTATTACCTTGCACTTTCATAGCAGCAGTAAGCTCGGGACATGGTTGCACATCTTCAAAGCGTATCTCTTTCAGCTCAGGAAAGCAAAGCTTCACATCTGACAGCAGAGAAGGTGGGTGCTGAGAGTGTAGCAAGATGTTGAACACCGTAGACTTCTCCACAAAGTACAGACGTGGAAACTGAGAGCGAACCTTCTCTAGAAATGTGTCCAAACATTTCATAAGATTGTCCTGTATGGGGTACAAGATATCAATTCCGTTAGAGCCTCGGAAAAACTCTTCAGTATTCTTGTTGCACTGATTTTTTTCCAGAAGACAATGTAACACAGTAACGTGAAGATACTTCAATTTTACACAACAACGAGAGACGAAAGAAAAGCCTACTGAATCATCAACATATTCCTGTTGTGGAAGTGGCTACGGGAGGTGTGTGTGTGTGTGTGTGTGTGTGTGTGTGTGTGTGTGTGTGTGTGTGTGTGTGTGTGTGTGTGTGTGTGTGTGTGTGTGTGTGTGTGTGTAAGTGAAACAATAGATAATGATATAGGGCCCCGAGCCCTCCAGTGGTAGCACACTTGTGTGGCTCAAAACACGTCATACAACACTGCCGTATCTATACTTACTTGTCTTTGCAAGATATCCAGTAAGTATAGTCTGAGAGGCTCCCCGGATAGTTTGCCCAGTACAGTGTCAGTACTACCAGCCTGTCCAACTAGACACAGCACATTGGAGGCCTGCTTCAACTTGCTGGAGAGGTCCAGCAGTTCAACATGTAGCTGCCCTGCTGGCTCAGCATAGCGCAGTAAATCAAGATGCTCGGCTGTGCGGCTGTCATGGAGAATTTGACCTATGTACTGCCACTATGCATAGTGGAGATCAACAGAAGGACGTATGAATGCACATACAGATGCATACAGATACACACACACACACACATACCTTTGACCTTTGACGCCCATCGCCGGAGGCGATGATAGCAATGCTACGGCAGAAGCCATAGCAACTTGTGCTGGGATTACACCATTCAACAGCTTGCAAGGCTGAAGAATTGACCGTCACTATTCAGCCTGGTCTACACCATACAGCTATTTGGAGTGACATTTTCTGGCCAGTGAATCCCTTTTTTGGTCTTTTTCATTTTTTTTTTTTTTTTTTTTTTCCGCACACACATCACACCACATACTCCGGCATGCACTGGCTGTTGGTAACCACCCAGGAGAATGAAAGAAAAGTCAGGAAGAGTCTGAGAAAGAGAAGAAAGATGTGTGTGACCATAATCGTCGGGAATCGAACCCGCAATCTATCGATTGGAAATCGCTGCACATACCACTGCACCATATGGGACACACACATACACATACACACACATACACACATACCCACACACACGTGCACACAAACACGCATGTACGCACACACACACACACACACACACACACACACACACACACACACACACGCACACACACACGCACGCACGCACGCGCACACGCGCACACGCGCACACACACACAAACACACACACACACACAAACACCTTAGAATAGTTTTGAATGGTTAGAGATGGAGAGTAGGAGGAGGACAGAAAGGGGGAAAGGAGGATAAACCGGATAGTCCGGCATCAAGGATGCAAATAGCTTCAAGTGCTGGTGCATGCCAGCTCCATGTACATGTGCAGACTAGTTGGCGAATTCAGCGTGTGCATAGTGTCTTGTCAATGATGTACCGTGTCTCCCCGATTATAAGTCACATCCAACGATAAAGCCGAACACCCATTTCGGGTGCAGAGCTTCAGTGAAGCTTTGGTGTGTTTTCTTGAGTCACAATACGTGACACACAGTCAGTTGCGCATCCTTCTTTGACGTTTGGGCATATTGTTGTAAAACGTTCGGCTTATAATTGGTGGAAATATGGTGTGTGCTTTCAAACTATTGAATGTTTGTTGTGAAAAGCCTTTGTTTGGCTTAGGGAAGGAATAGGAATATTGTAAATCAGTACACAAGGAATGTATGGAACATCGTACGAAGTGCACACACCACACAAGCACACACATACCTGTGCATTCACATACCCACATTTACACACATGCACGTGGACTTACATTTTTCTGCACAGATGCCCATAGCTCAATAAGCTCTTTCAGCTGTCTCAGGGTGCACAACCACCACTCTGCCTGTGGCTTCAAGTCCAGTATGTACTGTGACTGCAGTATACTGTGCAGGAGAACAGTGTGATCCTGTATAAGAAAAGTCCAATACGCATGTACACGCAAGTATGCCACTGAGTGTAGGAAAGAGATGCGCATTGTCATAATAACTACTTTTTATATGCATTCCCACAGGATAGTCTGGTTGGTAAGCATCAGGTTTGTGTCTGTTCATGGCACGGTGGGAAACATGGACTAGATGCACTTGCAGGGGTAAGAATTTAGAACTGAGTCAAGAGCCCCTCAGTGTCCATTTATATGCACGTACCAAGACAGCATTTTCTCTCATTGCAAATTTTGCATCTACAGTAAAACCTGGTGTAAGCAACCTCTGGTTTTAGCGACCAGCTGCTTTTAATGACCGTTTTTTCCATGCACGAACAGCTCTACACAGAAACTGCACCGGATACAACAACCACCTGCCCTGCGCGACCAGCGACCAACTTTTAGTGTACCAAATGCCTTATTGGACCTGCACACAGCGATCAAAACCAGCCAAAGTGCCATCTTGGCGGCCATGGTTGAAGTGTGCTCTGAAGCAAGTGCATGCTGTAATCGAACTATGACTTTCTCTTGTATGACTCTGTCTTGTGTAGTTGACATTACTTCTTACCTCTTGTTGCCTGTCATGTGATTCATGTGCGTGATTCATCCTGTGGTTGCGGCTTTCTTGTACGCATGCATGTATGCTGTGCAGCTGTTTGCGCTTGCTGTGGTACGCATGCATGCTCCAGTTCCTTTCTGATACACGCTGCTCTTAGCTCTTTTTACGGTAGTTCTGGTGTGTTCCGATGGCGATGGTTTTGTGAACAAACTTCTCTCTCTTGTTGTACTGTCGTATGTATTAGCACAAACAATAACCTTCCAGTTAGTATAATTACTTGTCCAGACCTGTGTGGTGTTTTGGCCGTGGTATGCCTGAGACCGGTTGTGGGGGTAATTTTCTAACAGCGTGGTGCCGAAACCCGGGAATTGTTTGTGCGTAGACGTCAGTTTTAGTGTATGCCTCGTCGTCGTCGTCGTACGAGACAGAGAGCGAGACAAGGAGAGGTTGAGGCCTTGCCTGTATCGGACAGTGAAGCAGTTGGCGTTGCTTCTGAACCTGAAGCCATGTCTGGCCTGAAGCTGGACGGCTTGATGAAGTCCTTCGGTGGGAAGGCAGGTGACAGCTTTGATGACTTTTGGTTGAAGTACTCTGTGCTGTCGGAGGTGAACGGGTGGGACACGGCTGATAAGCGCATGCAGAGACTTCCTCTGTTTTTGGAAGGAGATGCGCTGCTCGTGTTTAGTAGAATGGAGGCTGCGGATAAGAAGGACGAGGATAAGGTGTCCGCTTTGCTGCAAAAGTCGTTCGGCGTGACAGGAAGTGATGCGTACGAAAAATTTACGTCCCGCCGGTTCCTTTCTGATGAAAGTCCTGACGCGTACGTGTCTGATTTGCAGCGGCTGCTGGCTGCATCAGGTCACAAGCTGACAGGTGATGACGATTCTGTCGTTATTGAGCAGCTGCTGGCTGGTCTCCCTTTTGATTTTGCCAAGGAGATCCGCCTGTCAAGTGCTGGGAAAGACTTACGTGTGTCCGACTGTGTGGAGAAGTTGAGAGCACTGCGCAAGGTTGTGTCAGCAAGGCCAGGTATTGCTGGTGCAGTGGTGTCTGGCCCTTCCGGTGGGAAGAAGTCCCATATTGTCTGTCATAAGTGTGGTGAACCTGGGCATATACGGAGACATTGCCCGGAAGGACGTGGTGGCGGCAGCAGTGCTGTGAAGAGCAGTGGAGGCAGCGGTGGTGGCCAGCAGAAGTCATCAGGGCCACGAAATGTTACATGTTTCTTCTGTGAGCAACCGGGTCATTATCAACAGGACTGTGAGCTCAAAAAGCAATGGCTCCGAGACCAGAAGAGAGGCAAAGGCGTGGCCGGAGCGGCTGTGGAGATCGCCGATCCATGTCTCCTAGCTACAGTAACTACCACGCGACCTGGTTTGCCTCGTGTGTTTGTAGACGTGGCTGTACCTGACAGGGATGTGTGGAGGCGCGTGCAAGCCATCATCGATACTGGCTCCTGTCGCACGCTCATTAGCGAAGCACTTGTTGACAGTTTGGGTGTCCCTGTTACTGAGAGTCTGGGCAAAGGAATTGTTGCCTTGGACGGAGAGCAGCTGACTACACGTGGCGTGGTGGAACTGCAGTTCAAGCGTGATGATGGTCCTGTGTCAATTCCTGAGTCAACTATGTCCGCTGTTGTGCTTCCTGACCTGAACGTTGTGTCGGCTGACGTGCTGATCGGCTCAGACTTCGTGACAATGTGTGGGGGTCTGCATATGGAATATGATGACGGAAGGCTAGCTGGTGTGGTGATCGGCCCGGCCCAGGAGAAGTCGGGTAAACGCGCACCTGACGTTGTCGGAGCTGTACCTACACCGACTAAGCTCCCTCGGCATGTGCAAGTCACAGAGGACGCCGACACAGGCAATGTCGTGCTTACCACCAGTGATGGCACGGTGTGCTGGAACGCTGAAGAGCGACACTGGGAGATATCGTGGAAGTGGTCAAGCAATAATGAGCCTGAGGGTTTCATTGGCTCCGGTGTGGCTCAGTATTCGCGGAGCGGTCTGTCGGAATCGCAAGAGAATACCTTCTGTGATGAAGTAGACGGATGGGTTGAGAAGGGGTGGCTCATACCTCATGATCCAGCGGTCCACGGAGAACCGGCTGCAGTACTTCCCCTGCTAGCAGTCAAACAAGAGCACAAGTTGACGACGCCTGTGAGACCGTGTTTGGACTACACTGCTTTGAACAAAGAGCTGGTATCCAACCCTGGAGCTGAAGCACCTGCGTGCCAAGAGAAGCTGCGGCAGTGGCGCGGTGCAGGAGATCCCGATTCATATGCTCTGATTGATATACGGAAGGCATATTTGCAAGTCCGTGTGTGCCCTGACCTATGGCGCTACCAGGTGGTGAAGTGGAAAGGTCAGACGTATGTCCTAACAAGAATGGGCTTTGGTCTGTCAGTAGCACCTAAGCTGATGGATTTGATTGTTCGGTACTCAACTCGCCAGTTTCCGGCTGTCGACAACTATATCGACGATCTATATGTACCCAAGGAGCAGACGGATGCCGTCGTCAAGCAGCTGGCAGAGTATGGACTCCCGACAAAGCCGGCGGAAGACCCGGCGACCGCGCGCGTTCTTGGCCTGCAGTTGAGCAAGGATGACAGCGGTGAGGTCAAGTGGGCTAGGCGAGGTGGGCCCCGAACCGCGTTGCCGGACATGTTGACACGTCGTGCAGTGTACAAGTGGTGTGGAGCACTGGTGGGCCACTACCCAGTTGCGAGCTGGCTTCGAGTGCACTGTAGCTGGTTGAAGCGTCTAACTAGCCTTCTCGGCTTGAAGTATGACGATCCGTTGCCTGACCAGCTCAAGAAGTTTTGCATTGATTTAGCCCAGCGCCTCAGCAGCGATGACCCAGTCGGCGGTGTGTGGCAAGGTCCCGGAAGTGCAGAGGATCCATGCAAAGTCTGGTGCGATGCTTCTGATATCGCGTATGGCGCGGCCTTGGAGTTCAATGGCTGTATCATCGAGGATTGCAGTTGGCTGAGAAAGATGGACGACAAGCGCCACATCAACTTGTCTGAACTGGATGCAGCTGCTGAGGGACTCAACCTCGCAGTCCAGTGGGGAGCGCGGCGAATCCAGCTGATGACCGACTCCAAAACCGTTGCTAGTTGGATCCAACAGCTTCTGACCGACTCCAAGCGCGTGAAGACCAGTGGGTTGCATAGCGTGCTTATCCAACGTCGTCTGCAGGTTATCGAAGAGACCGTGGCACAATTGGGTCTGGAAGTGGAAGTCATCTGGGTTCCGACAGCTGACAACAAGGCCGACCGGCTAACTCGCGTTCCTCAGAAGTGGACGCACTATGCTAAGACCCTGCTGAAGGATGATGTAGCTGCCATGGCCCTGACGGTGATTGGACCTGTGACTTTGGAGCAAGTCAGTGTTGCGCAACAGCAGTGCGCTGATGTCCGTCAAGCCATTGCCCAAGTGGAGAAGGGGGAGCCTGTGACGGTGGAGTGTTACAAGAAGATCGGCGGACAGCTACTGGTTGACAAAGGCATGTTGTACCGGAGTGTGAAGCTGCCTGTGGAAGGTGGCGTTGCTGTGCCAGTGATACCAGAGTCGCTACAAGGTCAGCTTGTCAGTGCTGTGCACGCCAACTCTGGTCATGCCAACTGGCAGACTATGCATGACATGCTGAGAGCTGAGTGCTATTTCCCGTCGATGTCGACAGCTTGCCAAGATTATGTGCGCCGATGCCAGGCCTGTGTCCGAGCAAGCACGAAGCGAGGTCCTGTTGGAGAGCCTGTTCGCCCGGACATCCCAGGAAAGCCTTGGAGTGAGATAGTCATTGACACCTTGGAGCTCGGTATCGATCGCTCAGGGCGGTATCACTGTGTGCTAGTCATTGTCGACGCTTTTACGAAGTGGGCAGATGCTATACCGCTACCTCGTCATGATGCCAAGTCAGTCGCTGAAGCTGTGACCAAGGTTTGCCTGCAGTTTGGCGCGCCTGAAGTCGTAAGGATGGATAACGGAACGGAGTTTGCGAATGCTGTTGTGAGTTCGCTGTTTCGCGTCTTTGGAACTAAGGTGCGCACTGGAGCAGCTTACCACCCGCAGTCACAGGGATCAGCAGAGCGGATGAACCGTACGCTCTTGACGATGATACGGAAGGTGCTTGACCGGTCATCTGATTGGAAGGACGACCTAGAAGTGCCGCTGTTTTACTACCGTACGCGGCCACACTCTGCCACCGGTATTAGCCCTATGGAAGCCATGTTTGGCTGGTTGCCACGTCATCTCATTGTGGAGAAGGATGCTGCGGCTGAGTCTCTAAGTGCGTGGGTGACCAAGCTTGCGAACAGGGCTAGCCAGATACGCGACTTGGTGGAAGAGGAGCTGTCACGGCCTGACGCATGCAGCCCCGAGGCCGAGAACCCGTACAGCCGTGGAGACCGTGTGATGATGCTACGCCCACAGCGCCAGCAGAAGAGGCTCCCGCCATACGAGGATGGATGGGTCGTCACTGAGACTGTGACCCCTGTCACCGTGAGAATTCAGAGAGATGCAGGAGGCTTGCTGCAAATGAAGACGGTCAACGTGTCACTTATCAAGCCTGATGTCTCGGACCCGACAGATGGTGTGAATGCCGATGATACAACGGAAGACCAGCCAGTAGAGCCTGAGGAAGTAATGCGTCTTCGACCCCGTGATGGCCTAAATGCCCCGGCTAGGTTCCGCCAGTAATGCCAACTGGTGGGAACGTGTAATCGAACTATGACTTTCTCTTGTATGACTCTGTCTTGTGTAGTTGACATTACTTCTTACCTCTTGTTGCCTGTCATGTGATTCATGTGCGTGATTCATCCTGTGGTTGCGGCTTTCTTGTACGCATGCATGTATGCTGTGCAGCTGTTTGCGCTTGCTGTGGTACGCATGCATGCTCCAGTTCCTTTCTGATACACGCTGCTCTTAGCTCTTTTTACGGTAGTTCTGGTGTGTTCCGATGGCGATGGTTTTGTGAACAAAGTAATTCTCTCTCTTGTTGTACTGTCGTATGTATTAGCACAAACAATAACCTTCCAGTTAGTATAATTACTTGTCCAGACCTGTGTGGTGTTTTGGCCGTGGTATGCCTGAGACCGGTTGTGGGGGTAATTTTCTAACAATGCAGTCAACAGAAGTGACAAGTGACAGTGCAGGATGCGCTGCATGCACTTGAGTGAGGTGTGCTTTTCCTGCACGAAAGTATTCTATGCTCCACACCTGTCAACATGAGTACATGGAAGTACAGTCATGCACATGTTTGTACACGATCCGATAGGCCACAAATGTGTTGGACCACTTGGCTTTAACGACCGCTTTTGCTTGCAACGTGGGGTGGTCGCTTAACCTTTTGAGCCCGGGCCCATTGAAAACCTCTGCCACGCAGAAAAAATTTAAATTCACTCTATGTGAGCAAACTTGATTTCAAACGATTCTTTCGTGTATCCTGAGCACAGAACTGTTTTTGTTTTGGAAATACAACAAAGATTACAAAAGTTATGACCGTTTTCAGAAAGGTAGTTTTATGCGAAATTGGTATTTTGAAATGTGCGCATGTAACTCCAGTTCAAACTTACGGAGCGACTCGCATTTTTTTATTACTGTACCCGTACATCCTAGGAGTCCTCTGTGCATCGGTACAGCTCGACGCCACGCCACGGAAGAAACGCGGAATCTATGTAGTTCCGTACTGACTCGTGATGTTCTAGAACGTCACGCGTGTCAGTGGCAGTGGTCATGACGTGTCAGAGCGTCACGTGTGCTCAAAAGGTTAAACCAGGTTTTACTGAACATGCATTGCCCACAGAGAGGGCTTACTAAGAAATAAAGCGAGCATGGATCAAGTTTTTGGCACACTGCAACATACCTCCAATGTTTCAATCAAGTCAGAAATACCCGGCACAATGGTAAGAGTTGATTTATCACCAACAGGATCGGAGGAAGCAGCTGACTGTTCTTCTTCACCTAACAGCAACACAGCACAAGCAAGAAAACATGTGTGTGTAAGAGGGGATGAGAATGGAGGGGGGGGGGGGCAGGGGGCAGCGGCAGCGGGGGGGGGGGGGGGGGGGGCAAGTTAAGTTTTGCATGTTGCACAATAGGATACGATTCTTGAATTCATGTACTACACTGGTGAACATAACAGGGTACTACACTGGTGAAAATACCAGTGTCAGTAAAGACATAAAGACATAGCCGAGACGTCTCTAATGGTGGATACTGCAACACAACAATCTAAAATCCTACATAATACGTCAATAGCACATACACTGCTGGTACACCACTTGGAAGATGGCAAGTAACAGCCCTGCTTAATCCAACATGCACACATATGCACGTGCACATACATACATACATACATACATACATACATACATACATACACACATTACCAGTAGCAAGCGGTAGCCTCTTCAGCGTGTGTGGGACAAACTGAAACTCCTTGTTCTGCCAGTACTGCTGCAACTTCTCCAGAGTCAGCTGAATATCATACTCATTCTGAGCTCTTGTCACTACACTGGCTAGTACAGAGCGGTGTTGCAGCAAGCCAAGGGACACGACATCATTGAGAGTGTAGTGATGGGCCATATTGTATGACTTATTTAGATGTGAGTAGAGTGATTTCCAGTGACGTGGCTGCAGACACATGCAATACACAGATGTGAGTAGAGTGATTTCCAGTGACGTGGCTGCAGACACATGCAATACACAGATGTGAGTAGAGTGACTTCCAGTGACGTGGCTGCAGACACATGCAATACACAGATGTGAGTAGAGTGATTTCCAGTGACGTGGCTGCAGATACATGCAATACACAGATGTGAGTAGAGTGATTTCCAGTGACGTGGCTGCAGATATATGCAATACGATAGCAGGGAAGGCACAGAACATAACAGGTCTTGTCTTGTCTCAAACGTAAAGGAGGCATGCCTAGTTGATTGGGAAGTGGACAGTAAGTAATTGGGTTCATCTGTACACCTTGATTCTCGAGGGTGGTTTTGTTCCTACGGATGCGGAAAAGTCAGTTTGACTGACTCTGAATGGTTGTGCCGGTGCACAAGAAAAAATCCAAGTCTGATGTTAAGAACTACCACCCGATCTCCCTCCTCTCTATTCTGTCGAAAGTCATGGACGCCATTATCAACCACTCAATCCGACAGTTCCTGGAGGCACACAACATCTTATCGAAAAGTCAGTATGGCTTCCGCAGCCAACTCGGCACCCAGGACATACTCACGCTACTCAAACACCCAATGGAGTCGCGTTGCAGCCAGAGGTGGTGTGGTTAGAGTCATTGCAGTTGATGTGGCTGGCGCATTCGACCGCGTCTCTCATGTAGGCGTTTTGCACAAGGCACAATGCTATGGTGTAACTGGGCCACTTCTCGCTTGGCTGAGGGATTACCTGACTGATCGTCACTTGAGGGTTGCAGTTGGAGGTGAACTTTCCAGTCCGTACCCGACCAAAGCCGGCGTGCCGCAGGGCAGTATCCTTGGTCCCACCGTGCGGCCTGTTCATCCTCTACACCAATGATGGCGAGGACCACCTCCCACCAGGTATGGAGCTAGCAGCCTACGCTGACGACACCACTCTCTTCCACTGCCTCACATCAAGAGCTGACATTGATTGTGGCTCCGAGCTCCTCCAGCAGGGCATTGATGCGTTTTCCCATTGGGGACATAAGTGGAGGATCAACTTTGAGCCCTCCAAGACGCAGGCTATGTCTATAGGCCACCATCGCCAGCCCTGGGAGCTCCCTCGAGCAACATTTGACGGCACACCGGTCAGTGAAGAGAGTCGGCTGAAACTCCTGGGAGTCACCTTTGACGACACCCTGAGCTACTCCTTCCACCTCCGCTCCCTAGCTTCCCGTGCTAACCAGCGGATTGGCTTCCTGAAGCGAGCGTCTCCCATTCTGGACGCCGAGAGCCGCCAACGCGTCTACAACGGCTTTGTGCGATCCACACTCGAGTATTGCCCCTTAGTGTGGATGGGCTCACCATCGTCCCATCTTAAGAAGCTGGACCAGATCCAGCGAAGGGCCCTCCACATCATCGGAGCAGGTACTTGGCTCCCTAGCCTGGCACTCCGTCGCCTGGTAGCTGCACTCGCCTATACCTACAAGCTCTGCTATCTAGATGCATCCAGCCCTCTGAAGCAGATGCTACCCAAACCAGCCACTCACCGTGCCCCCGAGACAAGACCTACCCGTCAGTCTTTCCAGCTGCAGGATTCCCATCCATACCAGATGACAACTGGCCTGCCTGCCAACACCCGGAATAGCTGCCTCCAAGGATTCCCTGCTTGCACCGTTGCAACGTGGAATGCCCTGCCACCAGACCTGTTCCACCACCCACCTGCCCAGCCCCACATGCAAAGCTTCAAGAAAAAGGTGTACCGTCACCTTCTTGCTCAGGACTGGCTCTCTGCTACTGATACACTTTGAATCTGCTCGCCAACGCTTTCCCTGTTCTTATTAGTGTTCAGCTGCTTACCTTATAACCCTGCTGCCATCATCACCAATATTCTGATTCTCATGCACATGTCCCAGAACCTGCTATCCTTCGCAGTCCCCATCACGAAGAGCACTGTGCTCTTCTATCTCCCAGCTCTCCCAGATCTCTCTCTCTCTCTCTCTCTCTCTCTCTCCATCTCTCTCCTTCTTCTCTTCTTCTCCCCTCCCCCATCTCCCGATAATTATTAGCCCCCCGTTTGCTGTGCAGTGAAGCCGAGACCCTAGGTCGGTGGAGCACTTCAGACCCCGTCACCACGTCCACGATGCATGCCTGCGATGCTGCACCGCTGCTTTGCATGTCATGATTGGAAGCTGTGGCCTTAGTAAAACTCTCAAGAGGGTCACATTAATACTTACCCTTCTATAGCCTACAATCCGGCCCTGAAACATTCGCTTGCTAGGTGTGTGCTAGTACAAGGGGCATGAATCATTACCAGCAATTATATGACATCCCACAGAGTCCGAAATTCCGTAAAATATTTGCGCATTTACTGCAGAGAGTGATCTTGGAAGGAAGAAAATTGCTCTGAACTATGGCCATGATCGAAATGTAAGGCATCAAACCAGTGAACCACGCCAACAAGACAAACAGTTACACAACGAAAAAAACGAAAGTGAAAAACATTGAACAACCGATGCGATCTCAACTCCTAAGAATCATGATTTTCTTCTCCACTGAAAAGTATCTGTTACCTTGGTGATCTTGAGGAAATAGCAAGAATTGACCTTCTTCATGGTCATTTCTGAAGCTTCCTCCAAATATTGTCAGCCAACAAACCACAGCATTGTCACCTGGCTAGTCTGATCTCTGTCCTCAAGAAGGACCAGTTCCAAAAGATTGCAGGTCCAGTGCGCTTTCTAGCTTCAAAGATCTGGGAAATCGCCTCATTCTGCACATTTCAAGCAGCTTCTCAATTGTTTCTGGCTTGACATTGAACAGCAAGAAGATGAAAAGCACTTCTTTCTCAGTTTTTTTCGAGTAAACTACCTCTCCAACCGCGTGGCTTTCTCTGAAGGCCATTTTGTAGGGGCTTTCCCATGGCCATGTGCTGGATGCATGCCATGTCGATGTACTGACATGACATGATGCATGCTGTCATGTACAAGGACGTAGACTACTCAGTGACTACAGTCAGTACTCTGTACGACTCGTATGAGTCGTAGTCTAGAGTGACTGAGTCAGGGAGTCGAATTTTATGACTGCCTGTTGACAAATAGCAACTTGTTTGGTGTAAATTTCGTTTAGAGTGGCTGACAGCTTTGCCAGCTTGATACTTGGTTTCATTCTGCAGCTCACTGGTTTGAGAATACAGTGTTTTTTTGCGGCTTCTTCAACGGATAGCACCATCATCAAGGTGGTTACCTATTTGTGATGCAGCTTCAACTAAAAGTACAACAACAAAAGCAACAGCCCACATTCAACAGCCACAGCCCATGACAACCAGAACAACAACAACAACAATAACACCAATTCTCGTTCCTCATATACTGGCACACACAGAGACATAGACAGCAATAGCGGCAACACACAAATTAAAGGGTAGTTGGCCGCAGCCAGATGTGACACTTGCGCAGCTAGTGGGGAAGCACTAGCCATCGGTATTCGGTATGAGAAGATAGAATCTTGCGGCCTACGTATATTGAATGCCTTGAAAAACGCGTCAACATGTTGAAGGTATGACCAGCATCAGCCAAGGACTGATGGTCAAAGCAAATACCAAAATACACCGCTATAAAAAAACACACGATCCTTGAAGGGTGGTGGCGTTCCTACGGATGCGGAAAACTCGGCCTTTAGCCGAGTTTGACGCGAACAGTGAAATATACAAGTAATAATAAACAGAACTACAAGGACACATTATGTCACCATAATGTCGGCTGCGCAACCAGTCACTCATCTGACATAAGAATTTTTGAAGCAGCTAGTTGTCTGGAAACTGGGCATGCTTCCAGTTTTTGTCGGTACTTTCAAACTCTGGTTGCTGCAGGTGAAAAGAGATTCTCGCAAACCTATTAAAATGCACGGTTGCAGGCAGCGGTGTACAAGAATAAAAAGAAACGGAAAGAAATAACAAGGGTGCTTCAACGTTGACTGGGTTCGATCACTGAGCACTAGACAAGAATGTTTGCAAAACAAAGGTAGAAGAACTGGGCAGCCTCAAATGCTACCTCAAGGACACACAGCGTATCCAAAAAGTAAAGAAAAAATGGAAAATGGTGAGCTGGAGGCGACTGTCGCCGACATCACTGAGCAGTGCAAATGGTATGGGCAGACAAAAACCAATAGGAGAAGACCTACACAGTACTGAAGGAGATGTCAAGCATGAATGCCAAACCTACAAGTGAACCTGAAGGAGAGGAGGATGTGGGTGATGCCATCTTGGCTACCCTGGCCAAAGATTTCTCTGAGCTACGGCAGCACATACCTGCACAGGAAAACCAGCAGAAGCATAACGGAGAGCCTCATCATATCGTTGGGAAACGGCAACAGCAGCGCAACATGAAGAAATAGAAAATGTGTGCTGAAGCTGCATTCTGGTTTACAAGAATGTTTGGGTCTCACTGCTAAATTACCTTGCACGCATGGCCTGTGTAATTGCTTTAGTCTTTTCTCTGCTCTTTCCGGTTGCACAGATGTTTAGCTTGTACAAGTGCTTTCACTTACTCCCACCTCTCTTTCCGGGTATATACGGATATCATTGCTTTTCTTCTATCTTTCACACTAGTAATGTACTGCGTCCGGACTTCGCTAAAGCTTAGATAAATATTGATACCTAAATCTATAACTTGCACTGCTTCCAGGAATACAATGCTGGTGATGCTATGCTTTACCTCCATTAGCCGTCTGTGCCATTGTGCAGATTTGTATTCAGACAAATTAGTTTCATGCTACAATGCTTTCGTTGTGCTCTGCGGTAAGCTCATGATTAATCAATGCCCTTTTCTGTGGAAGAGACAAACTGCCGGGCAGCACGATCCCCTCCTGTCATAGATCCAGAGGAGTACTGCAGGAACGTACATGGACTACGGCGAATCATAGGCTTGATGGTAACCAGGTAGTGAGCCCGTGGGCCTTGTCCATGTACGTTCATGCAAGCATCCCAACCTGGAGGAAAGAACTTCACAGGGAAATTCTTCGGTCCCAACCCCCTTTGTCCAGTTTCTGATTCGAAAGTCAGAAATAGACTATTTCGTTTCAAGGAGGAAAACTTCCTTCTGCCAGCGGAGAGGGCTCGACACAATAATGTGGAGCACTATTACACGTAAAACTCCATTGTGCCTTTTGTGACTATTTCACTTCTATTTTTCACTGCACAGCAGTGCAAGCTCCATCAGCAGCCTCAAACATTCGTCATCTGAGAAAGGGCCCAACATTCCCCGAGCCATCAAAATATCTACAGCAAACAAAAGGGAGATTTTCAAATTCATGCAAGAATACATTCAATAAATTCACCCAAAATGAAATGAAATCACCTGATAGATCGTCACTGATATCTGATATCTTCATACTCCCAAGTTCATAGAGGATAAAGTCTCTCCATTTCACAAGGTACTGCACGCTGCCACCCTAAAGCAAAAAAATTCACAGTGCAACGAACAGCTCAATTGTGTCGACCTCGCGACCTGATTTATTACAATAAAATAAACGTACCTTCTTTCCCACTGTCGATCCGGTAAGAAGCAGCAAAAACTTCAGGCCCCTAAGACTGCTTGAATTTTCTCCACAGCGGACTGCTGCTGAAAACATCAGCTTGGCGTAAAAACCAGGCTCATTCTGTCTATGAGATACCTAGCGTAAATGAGAGCCTTCTCGTCGCCAGCCACAGCAATAACAACAACAAAAATCACCTCCACCGAAAAAGACATGCAGATCATCAGGTGCAGAGAGCTTGTTGTGTACAGCGTGAGTTCAAAAAAATCCTTTTTCATTGAGATCACAAAAAAAACTTCACACTCGATCGCGCGAGCTCAGCACCAGCAGTGACGTTTGGGTGAAAATATTTTATTTGAAAAACTTTTGTCAGGCGCGATGTCGCTGATTGCTGGTGATGGCAAAAGGGAAAAATGCCAAACATGAATTGCAGCAGAAGAAGCATGCAAACATTAACTGTGACGGTAGTAGTGGGGTCTGCAGACCTCTGCCAACCCAGGGTCCCGGCTTCATAACTAACCAGATGCGCAATGGAAAGAGAGAGAGTCTTCTAAACTGTTGCTTCAGCTCAGAGTCCAGTAGGCATTCACAGAAATTCCTATTGACATCAAACATTACCTTGAAGAAAGGAGCAAACACCACCTGGATAGCGTTCATTATCTCCACCCAGTGCTGCATATTCTCCTTCCATTCAGCTAGCACTGGATCACCTTCAGGCAAGTGATCTTCCAGCACTGTAGAAGCTTTAATCCACTTCTCCAGCAGGTCACCGATACCCTGGATATTGACCTGCAAACACAGTACAGAGCAGCCAACACGATCAGGCCACGGAGCCAAGCACACCGATTCCGGTGAGCTGAGTTAGCATTCTCTGAAACAGTTATCACAACAAAAGCAAATGTACATCCCAATGCCTCACACAACATCAAGCTAGCTTATGAACCCTCGCTTTACTGTACAACATGGTAAATAGGACACACAACGATTCAAAACAACAGACAACTTTAAATCCGCCCTATTTCAATCAGAGCATGGATGGTAGTGCTGGCATGAGCGTCCATCAACTACAAATGACAACATTTCTTTCAGTATCGCGAGAGCTCCTAACGCCAGCTGTTGGGCGTTTGTGACCAGCCTGGTGACCAGCCTGGTGGCAAGCGATAGACTCTAATGGAGCCATCTTTGCTCGAGCCTATTCTCTGTGGCGTTGAACCGCTTCCTTAAGCACTATGTAGGAGCCTGGCTCATCTCCTTAGTGGAGAAGCGGCGGACAGAAAAATGCACATGCACATACACACATACGGACACACAAGAAACTGAATGGAGTGCCGTGGACCCTGTGTTTGACTCCGCCTGTATTTGGAAGATCAGAGATAAATTTCCGGACTGCTCACTGGCTGTGCAGTCACTTGATAAGTAAGCCAGGCTGTACACTACAAACTTGTAGCATTTCAGATTCGGAATAGCACTTACATTTCGGACTTCAGTTGCTTTCCACTCGTCCACTGTGCAAGTTGATCTTCCTATCAATTGCCACAGATCAGTGCGTGCAATGATGGCATCATACACTTCCTGCACAAGACTGAGATCGTGCTGTTTGCCGGATACAGACTTCATCCACTTTGCAGTGTCATTGTACTGATCCTGCCAAGACTTGAACTGTGTATACACCTGGGTGCCAGTTACAAGAAACACAATCAAACACGCACACATACACAAACACACACACACACACACACACACGCACACATGTACAAACACATGTGCAAATGGATTGATGCAATTGTCATGTGAAAGAGAATAACTGACTTGGATGGAGAGAGAGACTAACATCTACAGGGAGTGCATCCGACCAGTCATGATAAGTCTACCAATGTCTTGATGAAGTTTAGCCTTGATGACATGAGCAATAAAGCTGGTGCAAGGAACGAGTGCCGATATGTCATGGAAAACATGTACAGTCAACTTCGCTTATAACGACTGCGGATATAACGACAATTCGCGAATAACGACAGAATTTCCATGCCCAGAGCAAAGTCCCATCCCACTGTAATACATAATGATGAGACTTCGGGTATAACGACACTTCGCGAATAAGGACACCTTTTTGATGCCCCGCCGAGTGTCGTTATAAGCGAAGTTGACTGTAGGTCCAGTCATGGCCTCACCTTTCTACCATTGGCCTGTACACGAGTATGATGTGCCTTTGGGTCAACAAACTGGCCTGCGTTGACTGTTTGGATCAGTGCTTGTCCCTCCTCTTTCAAACACTGCACAAAAGACAGGAGCAATGACATATGAACCACTACAACACAGCACATAACATGTTACTATACACAGTATGCTGTACATGTATATGACAGCACACTCATAGGATGTGATTTTAGAAGTAAGGTCAAGATATGTATCATATTGGTCAGTGAGACTACCAACGTTGTATCTACGAGCAGAGTGTTTAATTAATACAGCTTATCACAGAGGTAACAGTCATGTGCTGTGTCCTGCAGTGCACTGTGTCCTGCAGTGCACTGTGTCCTGCAGTGTACTGTGTCCTGCAGTGCACTGTGTCCTGCAGTGTACTGTGTCCTGCAGTGCACTGTGTCCTGCAGTGCACTGTGTCCTGCAGTGCACTGTGTCCTGCAGTGCACTGTGTCCTGCAGTGCACTGTGTCCTGCAGTGCACTGTGTCCTGCAGTGTACTGTGTCCTGCAGTGCACTGTGTCCTGCAGTGCACTGTGTCCTGCAGTGCACTGTGTCCTGCAGTGCACTGTGTCCTGCAGTGCACTGTGTCCTGCAGTGCCCTGTGCAGGCCTGTATGACTAAGCTGCCTCACAAGCATAGTACTGGCACAGCGGTGTGCAATCACATCATGTTATGCTATCCAGCAGGGTTGTTGTGGCATATCCAGCAGGGTTGTTGTGGCATATCCAGCAGGGTTGTTGTGGTATATCCAGCGGGGTTGTTGTGGCATATCCAGCAGGGTTGTTGTGGCATATCCAGCAGGGTTGTTGTGGTATATCCAGCAGGGTTGTTGTGGCATATCCAGCAGGGTTGTTGTGGCATACGCAGCAGGGTTGTTGTGGCATATCCAGCAGGGTTGTTGTGGCATATCCAGCAGGGTTGTTGTGGCATACGCAGCAGGGTTGTTGTGGCATATCCAGCAGGGTTGTTGTGGTATATCCAGCAGGGTTGTTGTGGCATACGCAGTGGACATTGCTGTATCAGTCACTTGAATTGGTGCATGATATCACAGTTGCTATTGCTGTCTCGTTACAAGCCAAGTCACCCAGCCAAGTCACCCAGCCAAGTCACCCAGCCAAGTCACCCAGCCAAGTCACCCAGCTAAGTCACCCAGCCAAGTCACCCAGCTAAGTCACCCAGCCAAGTCACCCAGCTAAGTCACCCAGCCAAGTCACCCAGCCAAGTCACCCAGCCAAGTCACCCAGCCAAGCCACCGTATACTCCAATATTTCTATGGAGCCCTGTTTGTGTTCTGGTGGAGTGAAAATGAGGTCTCAGTGGGCCACATGACTATGAGAAGCCATGAATGAGATTATCGTTGCAATTGTTCAGTTCATCACGCCTGCTGACCTCAGTCTGCAACCCTATCTTGTCATCAGTGACACCAATACTGTACTTCGAAGTACATGTAGTTGAAGCTATTGCCAACATTATATCTAGTCACAGCATAACTAGGTGCTGGCAACACCACTGGCACATTCACAGCAGCGTCGATGCTTTAGCCCTTTTTCACTCCATTTCCACAATCTTGAGCTCGTTGGAAAGCTCTTGGCGAGAGCAACGCCAGCACACCGGGCTCCGTCGACTAGCTGCCATAAACGAGGCACGGAAACACAGCAAAGTCGTTTCCAAGCCCGATACGAGAGCAAATTCTCCCATCAACACCACTCCACTCTCCTCTATCGCAGAACGCTCATACTGTTTCGAGGCGACTCAAACTTCTGCCGACTACGTCATTATCATGTGCTCAGTTGCTCAAAGAGCATGCGAAAACGGATTTCCCCCTAAAATGGCGAAGAAATCAATCAAAAATTCGAATTTTCAGAGATAAGAATACGACACGTGATAACTCTGGATTCAGACATCGTAGCTCTTCGGCGATTGTTGCGTTGGAAAGCTACCACATGGACCTTTCGATTGTTGCATTCGCACAAGAAATGATGGAGTTACGAAGGTTTTACGGATCGATCATAAATCTATCATATGTGATTGATTCACGTACACACCGTACATAAAGGGTTAAAAATCTTATCATTAGGACGTGGGAAGTGCTTACAGAAATTGTGACATAGAGGCTCCTTTCGGTTCTTGGACCTTGCGCCCGCACAAATGACTCTGCATCATAGAGATGTGTCATGTACAATCTCCAGGCATTCTGAACCTACATACATGCATAAACCCACGTACGCACACATGCGCACACATGCACATTCAAGCACGCATGTGCACAGAGACACAGACACAGACACAGACACAGACAGACAGACACACACACACACACACACACACACACACACACACACACACACACACACACACACACACACACACACACACACACACACACACACACACACACACAGAAGTGACTCTATTAACCCTTTAAGAGCCGCCCCATACTTGAATGCGTCGTAAACGACGCATTCAAATGCAAAACTTCAAAAGATCGTAACTCGGTCCAATTTTGCTCAAATCCAGTGATCGAAATATCCAGGGCGAAGAGAAAACTCTCACCTGTCGGAAGAAACAATCCGCAAAGCGCTGCGAGCAACGGTTCCTGAGATAAATCACTCGTAAGTTGTGCCGCGATCGCGGCAATTTCAAAAGCGCGCAGTGCGACTTTAGTATTGAGAATTTTGAGACTTTTCGTCACACTGGATTACTCGAATTTGCAAGGGTTTCACTGTTGATATTGTCAAGAGTACACAGCGAAAAAATTGGAACTCCACGATCGAGTAAAATGAACTATCTGGAGCGGGACGCAATTGGACGCATTTGGGGCATTTTTCGTACTGTCGCTGCGATCTAGCGCTGGATAGACGGTGTGCTGGCTATCATGATCGACCTCATTCTCTTCCTCTCGCGGAGACCGTTCCAGGAAGCCCTAGATTGTGAGGATTGAGTGAGTAGAACTGAAGCTATGATCCAAGGAACACGAAAAAATGCAGAATTTTGAAATTTTCCTGTGGCTCTTAAAGGGTTAAGTGGCACACTGTTGTATCGTGATTCAGCCATTTACCATGTGCGCAGTACTCCCATACGCCATCCCATAAGTCACTCAATGAACAAAACTGGCTGTCCCTCATTGTGATCTCACTATTCTGTGACCATGTGTATACCAAACACATTTCTGTGGACAAGACTTTGCAAATACACAATGTAACACATACAGTTTCCTTCACTTGTGTTGACTCGATTACCATTATCTCATTCTGAGCACATGAATATTTTTAGAACGCCTGATATCATCACTCAGTTTCTCTTACATCATCATTGAGTTTCTCTTACATCATCTGACATCATTCAATTTCTCTTACATCATCATTCAATTTCTCTTTATATTATTATTATTATTTTTTATTTATTCACAATCACGTGGCACTAGCCAATGAAATGGTGATGTGGGCGATAGCCAGCCATGGCTCTTACATCATCATTCAGTTTCTCTGCATTCTGCAACACCACATTAGCTGCCAGCATCTCCTCAGTCAGCGCTTGCTCATAGGCCTGGACGTGTATCAAAAGAAAAATGCAAAAAGATATCATAGCACAGGGGAAATATGTTTCATTACAGCACTGAAATTGACCCAACATTCTGTACATACAAAACCAAGCTGCACTGCCGACGTCTGGACAAATTGAAATCCTGTCTTGGAAGAGCTCCCTCCCTATTCTCAAATTGTGCATGACCACAACTGATACAAGCATACACAGTATTATTCCTGCTTGAGAGTGTTATCGGATTCCAGCTGAACAATGGTTTGATACAACTTGACATGTACACCATCATGTGTACCTCTAGAAATGCCTCAAAACGAGTCTTCGAAGCCTGCAATTCCATCTTCTTCTTCCGTGCATGTATAACATCGGTAGCAAACTTGGCAAAGCCTTCCACATAGCTACTCTTGTCCAGTAGGGGCTAAGAGTAAAGGACAAAATACACCACATCAAAAAGTAGATTACGCGAGTAAAATACCAAATGCAGACGTCACAAGTGAGTCAGGGGAGAGGAGATAAGGCTCTCAACAAGCAGGCGTGTAAAGGCCCTATAACACCATAAACCGCATCCTTGCTACCCTCACACGAGCAAGTGAGTACCCAGTTCACCGTGGGTGTCGGCACAGTTCATTGCATGTAAAGTGGTACTCACCCGCATCACCGCTTTTGAGAGAGCACTCAACACACTCCCTATTACCAGCGCAGGTTGAACTCGGAACCTCATGGTTCGCAGGCAAGACTACAAACCGATTGGCTATACGCGTTGGTTTATGCGAGTACCACATACTATTCCACCTAGCAGCAGTATATGCATGGTAAAACGTCACAATATCAGCTTCCCTCCGCAGTCCGCATCACTTGGAGCAAACCTCCAGAGTGTGGTCACATTCCACGCCCTGGCCATTTAAATCGCTTGCAAACGGTAAGAAGTGTGGTAGTGGCAAGAGCATAAGACATTTCCGGGCGATGTGTGTGTGTGTGGGGGGGGGGGGGCATCTAAATCTAACCAGCCACTACAACGGATGCCAGCACAAGTATAGCTGTGTTGTGCTCAGTGGCACAACTTGCTTGCACTAGCAGTAGTACACACAGTTTAGTGAAACTTTTCTCCAATGGATTCCAGACATTGGAAGGACAGTAAAACCAAGAGTAGATAAACAAGAGTGTGCAACTCAGGATGGGTTGGCCCACGGCGGTATTTTTTGTTGACGTAATCTTTTCGACGACGCACGCGCGGCGAGTCTTTTGGAAAGTTTTCCCTCGTGCACTTGGCCGCATTTACACTACAAAGTCGGTGCCCAGCACGTGCTCTCACACTGCTCTGCGGCAAAATGCGCGTTTCTCTGAAGAAAGGTGACGTCAACAAAAAATTCCGCCATGGGCGGGGGTATCTGCAGATTGTGCAGGAGAGATCCGGAGTTCCACACTCTTGTTTATCTACTCTTGGTAAAACCTGTAACTAAAGACCACTGTGACTAGCGACCAGCCTGGTACTACAGACCACTCTGCCAGGCACGGACAGTCTCACATTCAAAATGCACTGTGACTAGCGACCACCTGCTGAACGCGACCAGCGACCGCCTTTTCTTGTCCCAATGTCGATTTTTGACCCGTAACTAGCAACCGCGATGCAGGAAATCAAAGGATGTTCGAAACTTATTCTTCGAAATTTTGATGATTTTCCATGGACCTGAATGGACTCCTCCGAAGATTCTGCTGAACAAACGAATGCAGGCTCATTTTGACTGTGGGTAATGCACTGCACCTGTCAAAGGTTCAGTGCTGTCATGAGCAAACATGATAGGAAACGTCTTGGAGAGCGCATCGAACCTGCCCTATGATCGATGATGTTACTTTTCAAAGGAAGAATGGCAGTGCGCAAGTGGTGGGGGATAGCACTAGCTGCATGTAAAAATAAAGTGTGGCTCTCTACGCAAAGCTGCCCTTTGGGGAATCTCAGTGTTCTTTGTGCAGAAAGCAGACCCAGAGCACATTATTTGCATGTTGCGGATCGTGAACGTCGCCTCACCTCAGCTGGCCAGATGAGTGTGCGTGTGCCGTTCTCACCATCTGCATGCTCAAGTAGGACAGCACCATCCACGTGCTCTTTTGTTACCAGTATCCGTTACTGATGCTACTTGGATCACAGTAGTAAGTGCATGCAATGTGTAATCATGTGTTGAGTAAAAAAAAAAGAGAGAGAGAGAGAGAGAGAGAGAGAGAGAGAGAGAGAGAGAGAGAGAGAGAGAGAGAGAGAGAGAGAGAGAGAGAGAGAGAGAGAGAAAGAGAGAGAGATAGAGATAGAGATAGAGATAGAGAGAAAGAGAGAAAGAGAGAGAGAGAGAGAGAGAGAGAGAGAGAGAGAGAGAGAGAGAGAGAGAGAGAGAGAGAGAGACAGACAGAGAGAGAGAGAGACAGACAGAGACAGAGACAGAGAGAGACAGAGAGAGACAGAGAGAGACAGAGAGAGAGAGAGACAGAGAGAGACAGAGACAGAGAGAGACAGAGACAGAGAGAGACAGAGACAGAGAAAGAAAGAGAGAAAGAAAGAGAGAGAGAGAGAGAGAGAGAGAGAGAGAGAGAGAGAGAGAGAGAGAACTGCCTTACCTCACTCAGTTGATCGAGCCTTGAGGCCAAATCACTCGACAGGAATCCAATAGCCGCCGTCAAGCCGTGACTGATCTCTATTTGCATTCTCTTCACTTGTGGCAGAACACTGGTGGTAAGAGCTGAACAATCCACGTCCAGAAGATTGTTGCCGGTCATCAGCCTATCAGGCAACACTGTCAGATAGGCTAGCCACTCCTTGACCTGGCCCAGCAATGTCTACAAAACGCACGCACATAATGCACAATGCACGGTATCATGCATTAGCCACTGACCTGCAAGCAAATGAGACATATAAGGCACAGTAGTAGCGGCAGCCTGGGTAAGGGTTACGATCAGGATTAGGGCTGGAGTTGGGGCTGGAGTTGGGGCTAGGTTTAGGACTAGGGTTAGGGTTAGGGCTAAGGTTAGGTTTAGGGGTAATTCTGTTCAGGTTTTGCCTAAAACAAAGTGCTCAGAAGTCAGAGCACTGTAGTGAAAACATGATCGGAACGCAGCAAAATATTGCTCTTCAGGAGCCACAGCAAAGAACGCATTTTGTTTTCAAACGCTGATGAATGATGATCAGTATCATCACGGGTCAATGACTTGCCTTCTACTTACTGCCCATAGTTAGGATAGGTATGTGATGATCACACAGGATAAAAAAAGGTCTCATCAACTTACCAAGATATGTGACGCATCGCCTCTCATTAGCTCAGCGAAAGTGTCACTGTTCCAACGTGTTGCAGATTCAAACACCTGCTTGAACCACTTCTGGTCAGTCAGGAAAGTTGTGATCTCACTTGAGGCATCAGTCAGTATGGCAGCTAGCCTTTGCTTCTCTTTTGCAAACAAAGAACTGCAACAAATAAAAACCAGTACAGTTTTATACAGTGTGCTCAAGAGATGTTTGAACCACATCAAGTCAATCTGGTCACAACGTTCTAGCAAAGTGATACTAACTGATCGACATGATGTGGCGGACAAGGCTTTAAAAAGTGTACATGTATAACTAAATGCTTAAGTACAGTATGGATTGTATGAGCACTACTCAGTACTGAATGCCTTCACATCCCAAACAAGTACAGAACCAGTACATTACATCATCATTAAAGGGGCAGATCTTTCAGATCACCCGCTATGAGGACATGCATGTGTACGTGTATGCGGGTGGTGCATCAACTACATGTCATAGTGGCATAAGACTGGGAGCTAGCATAGCTTTGATATACTCAAAGTATGTCCAGTCAGACATCAAGACGCATGCTACTATTGATATGGTTCACACTGCATGCAACAACAACACCAACACTTGTGTTCACTCACTCCTTAACAAGATGCTCCACCAGCAATGAGTTGCTCCTTGCTGAAGGTGAGTGGGTAGTGCCGACATCGTTACTAGACGTCTTCACCAGTTCAATAAAAAATCCAGCACACAGACAGTCAACATGTGTTTAAGGTTCACTATCAATTATACATCATACCTACTTGTATGCCGTCTACAAATTGACTGCAATACAGTATTTATCACACCTACGGTATCTCTCCAGTATTCAATGAAGCACATGCTAATACGACAGGGAATTTTCAATACGCCATACTTTACTAGCTCTCCTGCGCACACACAAAGGACTGTGCAAATGAGAGAGAAGATAGTCCGATTGGAATCGCTTGGAACTTGAAGTTTCATGCCCAGGCAATCAATCATCAGACAGCCGTTCTCTATGTCATCTACATGTAGCTCATCATACAGTAGAATGTGTGTTGACACTGATTGCTAGCAGTTACCATAGTTACCAAAGAGTAATAGGTGGGCACAAAACTTGCTATGGTAGACTGCATAGAGCATACTAACAGTATAGAGTAGGGATGTGTACCATCTAGGGAGATGTTACAGGCATATGTAATGTACAATGTGGGGTTTGACACCGGGTTGTCCATTCGAGTCGCCCCTGGGGCAGGGTTGACTTATACCATACACACGCTTGCACATGACATCGCTTGCCTCGGTCATACTTGGGTTCAGTATGTCAAGGCTGTGATTGTGATTACAAGTTGCATAGACCAGGTACTGAATAGAACTTCCAAACCCAGGGTCAAAACGCACATTGTGCCGGGTGCTGTGATTTCGTGCTGTCTCCCTAGATGCTACCACTTCCTGCCATAGAGTAATGGGTTTGCACAGACGTTCCTATGGGAGACTGACTGGAGAGCAGTAGTGCACATTGATACACAGGCATGACACAGGTGCAGACTGTACTGCAAAGTTACAACGAATTACTAGACAGGTCGCATACACTACAGGTCATCCTGCAATGACCGTATGGAAATCACACTTGGAACACTGCCTGTTCTGAGCGTGAAAAATCGCAATATTCCAGCACCATACCTTGACATCAACGCTCTTTGCACGACCAGCACCAGCACCAGCACCACCACCAGTAGCAATGCTGTATGCAGCCGCAGAGAAGACATTTTGCGATGATGCTTGATGAGTTAGGGAAGTCAACATGGCATTAAATATCGACAGCAGCGTATTCTTCACCTCCGACATGGGTGGAGAGAGGCTCACTTCACCTAACAACGACATGAAACAGATACGGCAGTAAACAATGCAGAGGTGCATAATGGGAAGTATGGTGCAACACGGAAACACAAAGGGTCAAACCAAACTCAACTGGACGTTCCATAGGACAGTATGTAACTTACTAATATTTCAAAACCTACAGCACAAGCAAAATATCCGTGGTAGTACCATACGCAAAATCAATACAGATGGCAGTGCATGGATGCACTGAAGGCAACACAAGCAACAAACATGCACATGTACAGATGAAAGCAGTTACAATCCAATTCTAACATTTGAGACATTCACCAGAACGAGACTAAAGTCAAAAACAAGGCAGGTAGAGCACCGGCATTGGCATTGTGCATTCCACATTGTGCAAGGTCACACCGTCTTTCCTAACCTGTTGCAGACACAAGGAATTGTGCCTTGAGTAAAGCATGGCCATGCTCAGCTGCCGTCAATTGAGACTGTACGGTGTCCACATAGAGACTGGCAAAACGACGGCCTTGAGACAATAGTTCGGTCAAGACCATCTGATCAACGACGTGAACAAGACGCTGAAAGTTTCTGCACAACGAGGAGAACAAGCACGGCAAATTATAGGCTGTTCCCATCACATCAGTGTGTAATCAGTGAGCCAAGGAACATGAGTGTCATTTGCAACTCACAACTTTCACACATCCACATGACTAGTATGGACTACTATGAGACATTCTATAGCATCAAGATTTCCACTTCTGTTGCACCTTTACAGCCTATGTGCATGCTAGCGCTGATACCTACCTGGGAATAGATAGTAACAGGGAGCTCATGGAAGATTGTAAAGCAAACCGACTGGAAACTGCATGTGGAATATCCAGCATTGTCAGGACAAGCCCACGGCACACCAATTTCTCATTATGGAACTGATCAAAGAATTGGGGTCGAGCGACAGAGCATGCCATTTAACACAGTCATGAACAGTTGCACACAGCTCGAAAAGACAAGTTTATCTTACTCAAGAGCTGCTCTTGCTTCATCTACCTCCAGTTGGCAGTGTTGCTTTAGCTCGCGGACATCGGCGTTGGGTTTGTACGAACTAAACGACAAGAGGAGACAAGGAGAATAGGCGGACGTCTGGTACACACACCTGCTACCTCTTAGAACTGGCAACGTGGCATACCAGTAGCTATCATGCAGTGGCACACCAGTAGTTATCATATAGTCACCTGTTTTCTGATGATCGCTTAGTGCGCTTAGTAAAAACACTTCCTCTGTCCTCCTATTGTTTGAACCAGCTCTACCACTCGGTATTGAGCACTCTCTTGGACAGCCTGGAACCTCTCTGTTTTATAGTCACCTGTACGGGGACATGATACCTACGAGCATGCACAGACATTCTCGCAGTCATGCGGCAGTCATCTCTGATCTGCAGGTCTAGAACTTGGACCCCTTCAAACCTACCTACGTTGTAAATAGCAAAGTTGAACTAACTTCAGTGATGCGCATTACCATGAGACAATGCATACACATCAGTCAAGCTGCAATGAATACAGTCTCAAAACTTAAGTGGTTACTTCAAAGTATGCTGTTGAGCAGTAACCCTGTCCACACTACCCATGCTGCTGTCAACTAAGACAGGTTTTACTTCAAAGCATAGAATATAAGTGTATTACTAGGTGGGCAAATTGACATACGCGTGGCTAACACAATGTACACGTACAAGTAAGGCTGATCAGCTCTTTGCTCCTGCAGCACCTCAATCCGTTTCTTTAGGCCATGGACCATTGCATCCAGGAGTGATCTTCCATCCCTGTCATTAAGGCAACAAATTGAGAACATCCGACCAGCGTATGAGCTCCCGCATGCATATTCAACTCACATATCTCTATTTCTACTGTCGGGAAATACTCAACCTCCGGATAGCTAGCTGTTTCGACATGTGTCTTGTCAGCGGAGCTCAGAGTTACTGGCTAAACCAATTGCAATGAAGGCGAATGAAGAATGAAGGATACAGCAATTTTAAAGCGGCTCAAAGCATCAACTTGAATCAGAGTGCTCCGACTGCGATAAAAAATGGGAGCTTTGTACGAGAATACTACCGCTAAGCTGTTGTAACCTGGAATTTAAACTGTTGCTTTACAAGATTAGCTGCATCCATGTTACCCTCGTGCCAGGCCACAAGTTCCCAAATAACTGTGGGTCGCAGCACGGCTGGAAAATTCCTTCCGCTTCCAAGCAGGACTTGAACCTGGTACCCTCTGTTTCTCAAGCAGGGTCTTAGACCATCCCACTATGCCGGGCTTTGACCACTTGGTGGTGGGTCTGATCTACTCACCTCCCACCGTTTAGGCGCTGCATCTGCGCCTTTGATCCTAGAGGGTGGTGGCGTTCCCACGACGGATGCGGAAAACTGGACTTCCAGCCGAGTCTCACGCGAACCGTGAATTTTTTTAATTTTTACAAGATTATCAATGGTAGGGCTTGGTGAAAGAGTCCTGATTATTGTACTGACTGCAGAACTGAGTGATGAGAACATTGGGCATCATATACACTAACAGGCATGCTAAAGAGCTCAATTGAGAAGGGAAGGGGGGGGGGGCACGGAGAACCTCCGGTACCACTTTCCCTTCTTGTTGTTCAAGTCATTTCTGATTATCAGTATAAGCCAACAAAAGCAGTCGAGCACGTTTGAGATAGACCCCTGTGTGCCCTCTGTACAGTCACCTACCTGTGCCTATATATTTGGCATAGTGCATCCATATATAGTAACGCAACACCCTCCATAGTCCCTACCCATTCAAACCAATGGAATATTGGATAGCACATGTAGGATGAGTGCTGTGCTATGCAAGTGCACTAGAACACAGCATAATATTAACTCACTTGAAGAAGGCATGCATGGTAGAAGAAACAGTTGTAATGCTGTTAGTTGCGTGCTGAGTGACTTGAGCTAGATTGAGTGGCAAATCCTCTCTGTGTGACACATCAGAGCACAGACATACGATGGTTACCGTGGATACTGAGCAAGTACTGTATTATCATTGCACCCCGGTAGAGTAGAATGCATGTAATGAGAAGATGATCTGATTTTCAAACTAAGGCCACCCTTTGTTAATTCATTGTTTAACGTCCTTTTTTTCGCGAAAAGGTACGCGGGAGGGCGAAAAAAAAAGCCCATTCCAAAAACTGGAAACCCCAATCAAACATTTTGACCAGTAAAGCATGTGATATATACAATATTTCTGGGTCTAACGGCACTTGCAGGCATAGAACAACACTCTTTGATGGTACATTGGAGCACATGCCTGATGAATCCAACAAAACAGGTACATAGCATGGAGTTAGCATGTCATGAATTCATTACATCTGGATTTTTACTAGGACACACACCGTACGATATTTAAAAGCCAACAAAAAAAGAAAAAGAACACAAGACAAAGGCATGCCCGGGAGGCAAGATTATAAGTTTAAGGTCATGATCGGCACACTGTGAAACTACACAATCATGTATTTACAACTTCGCATATTATTGGTACTACTACTTTCTTGTGTTTTTTTCCGGTCGGAGGCAAAAAGGTACGCGGGCGCGGACGTTAAACAACGAAAAAAGAAAGGGTGGCCTAATGCTTGATTACAAGGTGCATGCGGGTGGTCAGGTGCGCGCATGCACACACACACACACACACACACACACACACACACACACACACACACACACACACACACACACACACACCATTCACTGCCTTTGTCCGTAGCAGTCAATTGCTAGCAGCACTATTGATGCAGGGGTATTGTTAAAAGCAGCTGGTGGCCCATAGTGTGGTGCAGTGCATTTCAAATAACACTATTCCACTCAGAACCGTGACAAGCATACAGGTGTACTCACTGCGGATGTTTAGCGATGGAATCCACCTTCTCAAGACCAAGTATCTTCCTGGACAAGACCAACGCATACAGCTCCAAAAGGTTTACACAACTACGTACGTTGAAGTAGACACAACTGGCCACACTCAATGTATTAACTATACAGATACCCACACTATCCACACCATCATCACACCATCATCACACTATCCACACTACCCACACTACCCAGTCTGCAAATGCCAGTAGAACAGTGGAGCAAACACACACAGCAGCAGAAACAGACTTCCAAATGAGAAATACCTTGTAATTCCTTGCAAAACACCAAGAAGAGTAGGAGATGATTGCAGAGCAAGGTCTTGGAATGCTTTGCAACGCCGCTGGAATACACCTTGTCGGTAGGTAAGTCTCCACCTGGAGAGAGCACATCATGTACACGCAGTGAGAGATTACTTTTCAGAGTCCCTTTTCAATGCAGGCTAGCCCAACAATTTGTGCTGGCATCAAAACTGCCACAAGCACTGCAGTTTAGAAATCAGTGGGCAGTGTCATGTAATGCCAGTCCGCAACCCAGTAAGGGAAGAACAGGCCTGACTTATATCACTAAAACCAACAATGGAGATCTAGGGTCTGAATGTCTTGCCCCAGTACTGAATAGGTTCAGGAAGCAAAGCATCATGCACAGTGTATCTATATCTAGTACAGTCAACTTCGCTTATAACGACACTCAGCGGGGCATCAAAAAAGTGTCCTTATGCGCGAAGTGTCGTTATACCCGAAGTCTCATTATGTATTACAGTTGGAAGGGACTTTGCTCTGGGCATGAAAATGCTGTCGTTATTCGCGAATTGTCGCTATATCCGCAGTCGTTATTAGCGAAGTTGACTGTACACCGAATAATGATTTCCATGAAGTCATCACAACCAGAGGTCAGCATTGCCGTTCCTATGCTGTTAGTACTGTCCGTGGATTCAACACCCAGCATCTATATTGTACAAGCAGTATTTCCCCTACCTGGCAAACATCTTGCGCACGAGAAACTGTTTGAAGAATGGAAGTGCCGTTGCAACTTCAAACATCATTGCTTCCCAGTACCAATCCTTCAATGTGTCTGTGTCTGTGAAAGAAGAAAATCAGCACCGAGAGTATTTGTGTGACTCAGCATACATGTATACATCACCACTTCTACCACAGAAAGATGTTGTTCTACTGAATATTTCCGGCACAAAAAAAGTAACGAGTGTATAAACTAGTGTACAAACGAGTGCACAAGAGTACAAAGTGTTCAAACGAGTGCACAAGAGTACAACGTGTACAAACGAGTGGAAAACATTGATGTAAGCCATGAGTCCACAATGTCTTATGTGTTGGCGTGAGATCAACCCAACTCCTGCCATGCCATGTTCACAGGCATGCATGCATGCATGCATGCATACATACGTGCGCAACCAGTGCCTTACCACTCTTTCCTAGAGAGCTGCAGTACACAATGGAATACCTGGACATGATATAGAAATCGTCACCAGCCTGTATTCACATGCGCACCCATACATATACACACACACACACACACATCCTCAGGCAAGTACTTGGTCCGTTACTTTTCTCTGCGTGCCCGTCTCACAGGCCTTATAAGTAAACTGCCAAATATACACGTACTATCGCTTATATACAGCATAACTGAACATCACTTCCAACCTCGCTTCAGGTTACTCCGAGTACTTCACAGATAGTAGACACACAGCCAAGTTACTTACAATGGTCTACATCTTTACGTACATTCAAAAAAGCCAAAACCATTCATCAACATTAGGCACTCAGAATCCCACCTTCTCCTGCTGCACAACATGCAAGTCGTATGGACGATAGAGGTGTGACGGCGTGAGTCGCAAGTATGCTAGCTTCACAGAGTTGTCCAGTTTTCCACTGAGAAAGTCCCTGGCCAGTTCCATTCCCGTCATTGGTGGTGCTTCCTTTGCCTGTGTACATGTAAACCAGAAATAAGACTCAGATGGTTCATCTGAACTTAGAAGTGGCTACTTCAACGGTTTGGTAAACAAAAGTTAGGTTCTCCTATGTGGAGCTAAAGCTTCCTGTATTTCTATTCAAAGAGATTACACATAATGTACATGTACGTGTCCACTGTTCAATAACTTACATAGCCTTTGAACCTGCAGATTCGGACAATGAAGCAGCACTCACCTGCTTTTTCACCGGTTTGGGCGGTGGTCTGCTTTCGCCGGCTACTTTGTTTGAAGTTGGAACTTTAACTGCTGGCATGGACCTGCAATACAACAAATATCCAGAAAGTAGGGGTGAAACAATTATACCGAATACTCGAGTACTCGCTCGGTTTTTTCAAAAATAATCGTACTCGGAATAAATCAGAGTACTCGTTCATACATGGTACATTCATTTACCATAGAAATCTACAGTTTCAGGGCAGCAGTCGGCAGATATTGATGTGCAGACTGTGTGGTGAACATTTGACCACGATTAGAGAGAGCCCAAATGACCCACCAACCAATATACCCGAGAAAAATGACTGCTACTCTATTCAATCAGGGTCGTATCATGTGATTTTAAGGCCCTTAGTGTGCACTTTTTACGAGGTGAAGAATACTCGAATACTCGAATATTCGATCGGAGAAAATCAGAGTACTCGAACTCGGGATCTCATTGCCAACTTTCACCCCTACCAGAAAGTAATACAAATCCGTTGATCCCCAAGCTGCAAAGAGTGCTCAATGTGAAAGACCCTGTGAAGAAAGTAATGCATGCAATTAACAGATCTGATTTGATTATGTTTATTTGATGGATGATCCAGAGGCGAGTAGCCTATCCACTTGTGGGATATTGAATGGGTAGCATGATAACGGGGGGGGGGGGGGGATAGAATGAGTTAGCCAGACACATAGAATAAGACAATAAAAAACACACCCACACACCCACCAACAGCAGCAGCTTACTCTGTTTTTAAACAGTGACTGTGGCATGAATAATAGTCATCAATCTATTCATGTGTGGAGGGAAATCCCTAACTACCTTCTACAGTAACTCACATTAAGTGAAGGATCTCTTCCATTTCCTCCGCTTCACTTCTTACAGAAGCTGGACCAGTATTCTCTGTCCGCTGAGAGGTAAAGAAAGAAGAAAAATGGAGATATGTGCAATTAGGGATACTAAAAGAGTAGGAGAAGGAAACAAATGGGCAGAGAGTGAGAGACAACAAGCTAAGAAAGTCGCATATGTCATCACCCAACACGACACATTGTAAAAAAAATGTACACTACTAAGCTGAATGTCCGGCATGTAATCACTGTCTTGCAAGTAGCAATGTGACATTGAAACCATCTTAGAGTACAGTCTAGGACTGTATCAGCTCAACAACATCAAAGAAATACATTGAACAGAAATATCGTATGCCAAGGAAAAGAATGCCAATGCACCACATTACCTTCTGTTCTAGCCTCTCTGCTGCATGCGCCCTAAATTGTTCCAAAACTTCTTCTTGCCGAGCAGTACTCATACCAACTACAGTACAGCCAACAACAAGAGTACAATGTAGCTTAATGATCAGACACAGTCAAAGCAAAACTACTATTAAACTAGCGAATCTCCATTCAGCACTGAGTAAGGGGCAGCCAGACCCAAGGCTGGAATGTGTGCTCTGCTTGTGCCATATACATCTGCCAGGAGATCAGCTGAGCAGTACAATACAACAACATTGAAGATACACTGGGATGGGGAAGGTCCACATGAAACCTTACTTCACTCTGTTTATGCAATGGCGCGGAAATCATGGGTGGTCGGAATTGTTGCCTAATTAGTAAAAAAAAAAAGAGAAAGAAAAAGGCCATCACACTCACCTGTGGCATTTTCTTGCACAACAACTGGCATTGTTTGTTGAAAATCCTTCCAGGTCAGAACCGGGGCTCTGGACGTCACTTTCCTCAGCTTCTCTACTTGCTGTGAGGATAAGACACCGATATAGTAATGCAGAGAAAGTGGGTAACGGTTCTAAAGTAAATCCTACAGTGGTTGGGACCACTTATGTGCAGTCACGTGCACATCCAAATACTATAGCCATGGCCAATGAAAACATAGAATCATCCCCAGGCAGCAACAACATTAACAGCTACAACAACGACGGCAGCGGTGGCAGCAGAAGAAACCGCCACAGGAAAACAGTAGCAACAGCAACACATTCTGCTGATTCTTATACAAACTTTGTGTTGAGCAGCACCGGCAACAGCACCGGCAACAACACCGCCACCGCCGACAGCAGCACCGACAACAACACCGCCACCGCCGACAGCAGCAACAACACTTACAACAGCACATAAATTACCTTCATATCTTTCTCAAACGCATCACTTGCCCTTTGGTGACAGATGTCCTGCCGTTGCTGCTCACCAAGTTGTGAAATGTGGACTGGTGATGATGTTTGGGGATGATGAACAGCATCACGACTTGACTGTGGTGCCGCTCCAATAACAGGCTCACCAACATGAGCGTCTGTCGGTGACACCAGCTGAATAAACAAGACGATACATGTAGAACGTCATGTGTACAGAATGATGAGATAGATTTCAAGCAAACACTGCGCTCGAATGAGGCTATATCATCATACCAAGACTGCACCGGTACATAGATGTTATGTACTCTTGGTCATACCATTATACAACTATGTACTGGCTATCAACAAATTGTTACACTCGGGATTCGCAAACTCAATTGCAGCCACCTGCACATTACCTACATAATTATAATTGTTTCACCCTGACGATGGACCAGGCCAGACAATTTGGTCATTCTGTATTGACAGAGTTTTGTGGCAGGAAAGAGACCATTATTCCCGTAGCTATGCAGAAGACGTTGCTTCAGTAACGTCTGGCGCTAGCCAGGGTCCACACAGCTTTAATTCCGTGTTTGTGTGTTTGTGTCGTCGGCATGCCTGGCGCTATCCCGTACCTGTCCCGTACCGTACCATCAAAGACAGCTGGCCACAATATTCAAATAGGGCTTTCAAATGCAAGATCATAACGTGAAGCAACTTGGAAGAATGAGTATGTATGCGAAGTGTATCGTGGGAATGCATGCGGGGCAATAGTGCGGGTTCGAATCCCAGGTTATGTCTAAAAAAATAGGAGAAATGAAAAATTTATAACATCCCTATGCTTTAGTTGCCATGGTCATCAAGGTGGTAGACGGTGTCGTAATACCCTCAAATGCAAAGAGAACGTTTATTTCTTTCGCTCAGGGCCCTAAGCTATGCTTTTTTGCCTAGCTCATCATGCATGTAAATTCTGCAATTACTTTTGCCTAACTCATATTCAAACTGATTGAAACGTTTTTGCAATACAATGATGTAACCAATCAATAGAAAAAAAAACATTTCCATCAGTTCAATAACATGCATGATGAGCTAGGCAAAAAAGCATACCGTAGGCCCCTGAGCTTCCAAGCTCTCTCGTTTGTGTCCAGACAGTTAGGCCTTCAAAGATCACAATCAGGACAGTTCCTGCTGATGTTAATGCTGCTGTTCGTTGAAAAGGCTTGGGAGAAGGTTCAAATTAACTTGTACCGAATGTCACTCATGAAAAGCGATGTCTCTTGGTTTGAGTCCCAGTAAGATTTGGCATTTTCACTTCACTCGCATTCAATTGTCCGTTGTATCTTGCATTTGAATTTGCTCAATTTCTCAAATTTGCACTTGCCTCTCTACCTGCTACAGCTATGGTATGAGTCCATCACACGAACGTAAGCATCATGCTTCACTACATGAACAGTGTGGCTCCATACTTGCCAGTCTAGCAAAGATAACAGAACAAATTGGCCACCGGACTACAGATTTGACATGGTAAGAAGCCGGCGTTCTGATCAGTGTAAAATATTCAAAAATCAAAGACTAAACTTCCGATGGACCATTCACTGCCACCCACTAGCATACATGTACAGTCAGACCTCGCTTATCCGGTTCTCTTTTATCCGGATCCCCGCCATCCCGAAGAAAATCGTTGGTTACCGACTTACAGCATATGCCATACAGTATGTGTGTTCGATTATCCGGTTCCCTCGCCTATCCAGATATTTTCGTGGAAAACGGATGTGTGCGGCTATGTGAGGTCTGACTGAACTCATAAATCATACTTCTAGACAATGGCACGATGATCACAGTATGGTGAAGTACTTACTTGTGGAAAGACATCTGCCAGCTGCTGAAGCTCCGATGCAGGAACAACAGCATTACGCACTGCTCGAGGCACATAGTGCTTCAGCTACATAGATGCATGCACAGACAACAGAGCAGGTAAACATAACTACATGTGTGGCAACGGAGAAACCCGGATCAACGTACTTCAGAAGTACACTGGCAGGGCCAAAGGCCAGGTGGCGCACCTGTACATGCAGCAATCAAAATGTGTACACGGCACCGCATAGGTGTACATTGGTCTGGATAGCACTCGCCACAACTGCACTAAGCCATGGTCCTCAAAACCAGGCTCAGGCCATAACATACACCTGGTCCGCAGTACATTACACCACAAACACCACAAACACCACATAGTGAATTAAAATAAACTCCACAAACACCACATAGTGAAATAAAATAAACACAGCAACAACAACAATATCACAGCATTGCAGAAAATAGCACAGAATAGCTCGGGCCGCTCTAGAGGACCTCCCGGACTAATTCTATACAACATCTACAACTCCCAACCATGCACAAGCATGCTCTCCTCACCGCTTTGGAGTTGATGAGCTTGTCCAAAATGGCTGGGTGCTCTGGAAGCTTTTGCAGCAGTTCTGACAAAGATTTCCAGTTCTTGCTTCTGCAGAATACACCAATGCAAGTGTTTGCTCAAGGGCTACTCAAATGGTTATCTGAGCTAGTCTACAAATCATGCCTACTTATCTAGTTGGCCCAAAAGCAAGGGGAAATTACAAACAGGGGCACCCACTGCAAATTTGAGAGGGGGTACA